GGACTGCGCCGCTCATCATGCAGCTGTCAATGTCCCACTCGCGTTGCGCTTCCACTTGCCACCCATACCACCATCACCGCCATCACCGCCGGCACCACCCTTGCCGCCCTTGCCACCCTTGCCGCCAGCGCCACCAGCACCACCCTCAGCATTCCAGTCAGCCCAACCCTGCTTCGGCTTAAGCCCGTCAATCCAAGCCGGAGGCGAGCAGCCACCGCACCAGACCTTCTCGAACTCCCATCCATCAGGAGCTCCAGTAGGCTTGGGGTGGTCAGGGAAACATCCGCTGCACTTGAAGTGGACGGGAACGCCGTGATGCCAGATGAGGCCAGTGGGGCAGACCTCGGGGATGTCGGTAGTCCAGGAGGTCTCTGTGGGCACGACGGTGGTGTAGGTCTTGGTCTCGGTCCATGCGTGGCACCAGGGGGCGTGCGGGGGGCACATGTGTGGGATGCAGGTTGTGGTTGTGACTGTGGTTGAGCCGCAGGTTGAGGTGGAGGTCGAGGTTGTCGTTGCGGCCGAGGTGATCGTGCTGTAGCTGGTGGACATGGAGCTGGAGCTGGAGGAAGTGGTGCTGATCAGGGTTGGGCTGTGGAGTGGGAATTGGTGTTAGCTCGCGTAACTGTGCGAGGAGCGGGGGAAAAGAGGGATGGATGAAGACCGGAGGGTTCTTTGCGGGAGTCCAAAAGATCATCGTTCAGGGAATACGTACCCGACATTGTTGGAAGCGCTGGTCGTGGTAGACACGGTGACAGTTGAGGTTGAACCGCTGGCGGATGTCGAGGACGTGGAGCTAGAGCTAGAGCTGGAGCTGGAGGACGCGGTGCTGATCAGGGTTGGGCTATATAGGAGAAGTCTGTGTTAGTCTGGGTTCCTGCTGCGGTCTGGAGGGGAAGGAGACTGGATTGATGCTGGAGAGGATACAGCGCGCCGGATCGTAGCAGCTGAATGACGTACCCGACATTGTTAGAATTGCTGGAGGTCGAGGATGAGCCACTGCTGGAGGACGACGACACGGAGGTCCCGGACCTTGTGCTTGAACTAGTCAAGAGTGACGTCGAGGAAGTAAAGGTTACGGCGGTGGTAGTGCCATTGGCGAAGGGCACACCAACGATTTGACCGAAAGCAACAGGAGCAAGCGAAAAGAGCGTGAGCGCCAAAGTTTGACGCATTTTGAACGAGTGACTAGAGGTTAGTAGAACCTGAAAGAGAGTGTATTAGCTTGTTGAGGAGAACTTCCATGTTGCTGGTGAGCCGCATTGTTATATACACTGTATCTTCAGCTCGACTTGTTTTGGTCAATCTTGACAGCCATACCTCGAGGAACATTCTTTCTGACAGGAGCTTGAACAGAGTTCTCGGAATACTTAACCACGCGCCAGAGAACATCAGCCCATCAATCTCGGACGTTGCACTGTACGCGGAAAGCCATAGTGGTGCATTCCTGATGAACTCAGATAGCTAGGGATTCTTCTTGCGGCTAGCTGAAGGTCGAGCTCGAACATGAACATGGAGTGGTGATTTCTGCAGGACACACGCTACCCACGGCAAGCGTAAGGCTCAGTCTCGTCGAACAGGACGCTGTATCAGACGGTGACGCTTTTGACCCTGTCAGAGAGGCTATCGATATGGTGGTTGTCTGGAACCCAATCGGGCCGTCAACTCGCGCCTGAGTCTGCCATCGCGATCGACGCCATACGGAGCCCACTCAGGAAAGCCATGGCACAAATGCATCGAGATTGCGAACTCTCGAGTCTCGACGCGCCTGAAAGAAGGCATTTGTTTACAAGAGCATTAGGAATGATAGTAGAATCAAAGTCTCTTCGGAAGTTCGCGTTCAAAACTTAGAAGTTTGAGGTTGATTCCGCAGAGGCTCGCGCCTTGGCATAAACCTAGTATGCATGTTTGCGATCATCCTACACAGTATGTGATAGTGTACAGACTGCCTCTGAACCGATGGCTTATCGCAGGTACTTGACATCCTTCACCAAGTCCCGACCTAGGATCTCGATCTCTTTGAGCACTCCCTCCTTGTTCAACGCACAAGTCTCATTTCCATTCTCATCGTCTGCAGTATGCGGCCGGCTTGACCAGCCTAAGCGGACGCGCCATTCCTTCGTTCCATGCGTATTTGGACGCCAGAGACCTGCGATCACTTTCCCACCTTGACGGGAGTCGCCGTACAAGAATAATGCAGTGCCTCCAAGAACGCCATTGATCTCGTCGAGGAAGCTTTGCACCGGATTGGACCCGCTGTCCCCCGAAGACGATTCCATCTCGACTGATAAGTTTCGAAATTTCTCGTCGGACGCCACATCATGTCTCCTAGGCAGGCTTTGCTTCCGCAGTGTAATGAGAAAGTCATAGTCCTGGAGAGGAGGTACGAATAGACTCGTTGCGGTGTCCATGGTCCATTGCTCTGTCGATTCGTACACGACCTGCAGGCACGCCGCAGCCAACGACTGTACTCGTGCAGCGATCACTTTCTCCATCCGAGTCTTGCTAGTCCACACTGTGCCTGTCTCATCCACCGAGCTGCCAATGAACCAGCTGACCTGATTCATCATGGGATCCAGCTTTCTCCATGCTTGGAATCGAGTGGATAGCTCTGTCCTTGCGGCGTCAGTCATATCACCTCCTGGACTCAGATCGATTATCATTGGCGTTGTACTCCAATCCCACTGAGCCAACAATGCCAAGCATCTGAGAAAAGCAGTTGTCGCTTGGGCCGGCGCAGACCGAGGCGAAGGTTGCAAGAACACAGAGCATGCGATGATCTCAAGACACTCGCCAGGAACGTGCTGAGTCAAGAGATGTGACGAGATCCAACTCTTGAGAAGCCGGATTGTTGCCGACAATGCTGGATGCTGTGTCATCAATACACGAAGAGCTGTCGAATGCCTCGATGCTGCCACAAAGTGACGCTTGTAATTAGCCACGGCCACGGCTAAGGAATCTCTAGTCTGAGCTGGGGTGGTCCTGTCATTCATAAGTCCCTGAAGCAGATGCAGTTCGCGCTCGTGCACGATACGTATTCTAACAGCAACTGATGGCATGCTTTTTGCGTCGGTCCGCAGGTGACGTCCAGGAAAGAGGTGTTGTGGTGACCTGAGACGTCGTGCTCAACGTTCTCGAGGCCAATCCGTGTCGACAGAGAAGTATCGGCGGCAGTCAGCACGTCCCCAAGCTTGACGAGAAACGCGATCTTCGTGTGCTGGATAGCTGGTAGCGAGTCCGGCCACCTTCCGGATGAGTCAAACTCGATCAGCACATCCACGGGCCCAAGTACTGGCTCAGTGACAGCTACCGAAAGTGAGCTCGACCGCAAATGCTCGGAAGCCGGAGAGACAGATCGGATCGGTAGCGGCAAACCAGCCAGACCAAGCAGTGTAGCAGAAAGCTTCTGGAAGGTCTGGTCGACCAAAGTAAAGTGAGCTGTTGCATCGCTTGACGAGGTTGGTAACGCTCCACTGATGTCCACTGTTACTTGCTGCACGTGTTCAGAATCCAGCGAGAAATGCACTTTCAGCAACTGGCACAGGATCTGCTTCGTGACAGGTGTCGAAGAGTCCCATACCAGGCTTTCAGTGATGCTGCCATCTCTAAAACGTCTTAGTTCAGCTTTGTCGCCCCAAAACTGTCGGAATGCTTCTGCTGCTTCCTGTTCTTCTGCTGCCGGACCGTGATCGACTAGACGATCAGCATTCTTGGGATCCAACACTATAGACACAGTGACTGCGCGCTTCTTGTTCGGAGGCTGCGCGCTGATGGGCCAAAGTGGATTTGATCGGGGACGTATATCAACGCTGCGTACTCGATCGCCGAGCCCACGTTGCAGGATCTCGACGAGTCTGTGGTACGGAGCCATTTGTGCCGCTGCATCCTCAAGCGCAATCGTGAACCCTTTGATCGAATATATCTCGTCGTATTGCAACAAATGCTGTCCCAACTCATCATTGAATATGTCATCGAAGCTGCTCAAACTCTTTGAGCCGAGAACAGCCAGAGAAGACCGGGCAGAGGCCTGCAGAGCCTGATATGACGCTCCAGTCATCTTGTAGAGGAGGTTGAGTCCGTTCTCTGCATCATACAGCACTGGTACAGGGGAGCCCTCAATGCTGGTTGTCCCTCGAAGGATCCACGGATCTAGCATGTCCCGACTCGAGAGCGTCTGAAGTATTGCCTTGAACAGCTGGAGGGCACTGTATCGAGAGGAAAAGAGTGGTGATCCGCGAGGCCCACCAGTTCGAAGCAGCAGAGCACAAACGATTGTCCACTCTTCCCAGCCAAACCCGCCATCAGCGACTGAACTACTGAATCCTCTTTTCTGCAACCAGTACTGTCCCAGGCGACAAGAATCGGCGAAGGAAGGGGCTTGCTTGCTGGCACTATCGATCAGCTGATCCAGAGCCATCACTGAAGCTGTGTAGCGCAAACAGCTGTTGTAGAAAGGAGTGGCGCCTTCAATCGTTCTGACACAGTTCATGCTCGGGGCCGTCTTGCTTAACGGCCACGAATCTGACGGAAGCGACACATCGACTCGGAAGATTGCACCCTTATATTGAGACATGTCACGGGGTGTAAGTTGTAAAACTGGCAGGAGCTTGACACCGTGCTGATTACTGTATTGGAAGTCGAAATCATCAGCAAACTTTGTCCTTCTGAGACCTGCAGCGATACATGCCAAAAAGAAGGCGCGTTTCTGGAAGGCTCGGAGGTTAAGGTAGTCCTTGTCCTGGAGTAGGTCCATCGGCATTTGTGCGACGATCGTGAGGGCATTCTCGGCTTGAATACCCAGACTCTGTATGATCTCGCTGTGTAGAGTCACCTTGGATGGCGCGATATATTCGAACTTGAGCTTCGAGTCCTTGCCAGGCTTGGGAATGGGGAAAGGAATTGCGGTTGACCCCATGTTCTGGAGATGGTTCGTAGCCTCTTCTCCCGTGTAAGGTCCTTCAGATGGGACCTCGCGCACAGCAGAAGCGATGAATTCCGCACATTCAACAGCGCTTCTATACCGTGAGCCATTCCGCGGTGTCACTTCCGCCAGAATGCTCCGTACTTGGTCCACTGCTGATGAATGCCCAAATTTCACCTGACGGACGGGCGGCGTGCTCTCAACAGAGCCCTTTGCCCTGTTGTCAGATCCTCCATTTGATTCAGACGCATGGTGCGGAACTGCCCTTCGACTGTGGTGTATTCCATCTGCCGAGTCATGGCTGAGCTTTCGTCGTTTCGCTGACGCTTCAGTCATTTCTTTGCGCGACATGTCGTATAAAAGTCACCGCGTTGCGCCGCGTCTGCTTTGATGAATGCCTATTCCTTAGCCATGACCCAGTCCACACATGCTTGGGGGTGCCCGCGAAAAAGTTCATAAGAACATCTGCATCAAAAAGCGATTCGAAATTTAGGTGAGTGGATCCAGGTTCACCGGAATCCATTTCCGAGGGCCCATCGCGCCATTCCCGATCTCGGCATATTGATTTTTGACAGTCATAAGGTTGACCTCTCCAGGGGTGACACGAACAGACATGACATGTGCCATACACGATTGTTGACAGACCTACTCAATATTACAACTTAACCACGATGCTAGCCGCTGTAGGAGCCCCAGTGCCGAATACGGCCCACGCGGTGAGCGTGTCTCTGCCATCATGGAAAGCCAACGTTGGATACGAGGAAGGCGAGGACTGGGTCGTGTCCAAGATGCAAACAGGCTATCCTCGCTTCTTCATCCATCTCACCATCCAGGAACTCGAAAGGGAGATAATGAAGAAGTATGGCAAGAACAACGAACGAGTCATGCTATTCCCGTCGCCAGCAACGGCCAAGAGATGTCAGAAATTCTTTCACGATAGAGCACCAAATGTCCCCATAACAGCTGTAAGGCTGCTAAATTTGGAGCCCAAGATGAGCAGCAACGACCATGACACGGTACTGTCAGGAGTCTACTGCATTTTCTTTCCAAAGGAACACTTCCCCATTGCCAAGCAGGTATGGCAGCACACGGGAGATGGAATCTCAAGTCGACGTGGCGAATTTTGCCTGAAAGCCTTGCAAGACGGCTATCTTCAGCCTGTCGTCGCACCAGGACGAATACGGTCAGACAGTCTCTACACCAAGGGCCCTCGCCGATATCAGCGTGGCGGCTCACAGAACAATATCAATTTCCTGGTCAACTTACCCGACCCATCACCTGCCGGACCTATACCCGAAGACAAGGACTATGCTACCTTCGTGGAAGAACGGTTCGGCCGCAACCTCAACATTCAGCTCGCTGAGCAAGCCAAGGTTGCCATGCGGCGGAGAATAGCCGGTTGTCTCACAGATAACCTAGAACCCGACGAAGCCCTATTCAAGTCTTCACAATGCACAGGAGGTCGCCACCCAGGCATGACCGAAGACCATGTCTTCCTCTACCCAACCGGCATGTCCGCGATCTTCAACACGCACCGCATGCTCCGCGCCCACGCCGAGAAAGAAGGTCGCCCACCCCTCAAATCCATCTGCTTTGGCTTCACCTACATCGACACCCTGAAAATCCTCGAGAAATGGGGCCCCGGCTGCCTCTTCTACGGCCGCGGCGACTCCGCAGACCTCGACGACCTCGAACGTCGCCTCAAATCCGGCGAGCGCTACCTGTCCCTCTTCACCGAATTCCCTAGCAACCCCCTCTTACACTCCTCCGACCTTCCTCGCCTTCGCCGCCTCGCCGACGAGTACGACTTTGCCATCGCCGTCGACGAAACCGTCGGCAACGTCATAAACATCAACGTTCTGCCCTACGCGGACATAGTCATGAGCAGCCTCACAAAGGTTTTCAGCGGCGACTCCAACGTCATGGGCGGCAGCGCAATTCTCAATCCGCACAGCAAACACTTCGACGCCTTCCGGCAGACTGTCGACAAGGAGTACGAAGACAACTACTGGGCCGAAGACGCCGTCTTCATGGAGCGCAACTCTCGAGACTTTATCTCCCGCATTGACCGCATCAACACTAATGCCGACGCTATCGCTACCACGTTGCGAAATGCGAAGAATGTTAAGGCGGTGTACTACCCAAAATACGTCGCCTCGAGGCCCAACTACGATACCTGCCGACATCCAAACGGCGGTTATGGCGGGCTGTTAAGTGTGGTATTCAATCGGCCAGAGCAGGCGGTGGCGTTCTTTGATGCCTTGGAAGTACAGAAGGGGCCGAGTCTGGGTACAAATTTTACGTTGGCATGTCCATATACGGTGCTAGCGCATTACACGGAGATGGAGTGGACGGCGGAATGGGGTGTGGACCCGGATCTGGTGAGAGTATCGGTCGGCTTGGAGGACACAGGGCCGTTGGTGGAGTGTTTTGAGCGGGCTTTGGCTGCTGCGGCTGCGGCTTGAGGGACGTGGACAAGGCAAGGATGGAGAGCGGTCTTGGGGCGAGATGGAGGGCGGTTTTGGGCGAGCCTTCATTTTCAGATTGTATTGTCAGACACCCAGCGATCATGATGAACGGCACACACAATTTCACTTATGGGCTTGCTTCTGAAGATCAGACGATGATAATCCGCATTACGTCCTGAACCTATCAGTACTTTTCGTGTCATCTACTTGTCAGCACCAGCAGGCCCAGCCTCAGCCCTTGTTACGATGCCACCTTCGCACTATACTTGCCCGCCGCAACATCAAACGCCTCACTCCTCTCCTTCAAATCTGCTAACAACGCATGGTCTTGATCCTTCTCCTTCAACGTGCCCAACAACTCCTTCACCCTATCACTCTTCCCGAGCACACTGGCCAAGACGATACTGTTAGCTATACTCTCCGCACTCGCCCCTTCCAACCCCATCGCCTGCTGCAACGCGACACCCGCCTCCTCCCACCGTCCCAAATGCATCTCGCTGACCGCCTGCCCAACCAAAGCCGTCGGACTCGTCGTTCCAGGCGCTGTAGCCAACTCTTCGAAAACGTAGAAACTCGATTGGTACTTCTCGCTCCCGCCCACACGCAAATTCACCCATGCTTCCGCCAAGTTGATGAGGAGGGAGTCATTCGCCCAACGCTTCGCGGCCGCTACCTCCTTGAGCGCGAGATCGGTGCGATTGGCCTGTAGGTGGATCTGCACCAGCAAGGCAACGGCCTCGAGGCTGCCCTGGTGTTTGGAGAGGAGGTCGATCGCTTTTGCGGTCTCGCCGGCTGCGGCGAGGACGGTGCGGCGCGATTTGCACGACCGGGTCTTCGGGGTCGGAGTCTGCGAGGGACGAGGCGGCTTCTAGTGCGGAGGTGCTATCGCCGGATTGTTGTTTTGCGAGGGCGAGGAGGGCGCGGGAGGAGGGGTCTTTGGAGGATTTGAGGGAGGATATTACGGCGGAGGTTTGGTCGAGGGCGATCTGGGCGCGGTATTTGAGGATCTGGGCGGTGGTTCTGTTGGTGCTGGAGAGGGAGGAGGTGTCGAAGTCGAGGACGGTCTGGTAGGCGTGGGTGTAGAAGGCGGTTGTGATGTTGAGGAGTTCTGGGGGATTTTGTTAGAGAGGGGGTGTTGAGGGGGGGGATGATGATCGGGACTTGCCTCCTTCGCCGCTGAAGGGATCCATGATGTGAAAGCGGCTGGTCAGTATGCTATCGTCTTGTTCTCGCGTCTAGTGTCTTCATGGCATGTGTGGCCGCTCGTAGCTGAGAGAGACACATTGCCCTTTGGTGAATCGGTGCCTGCAGTCCAAAAAAGGAAGGTGCGGCGAGAATCTATCAGAAGTACGTCAACGACGACACTCCCTTGACCTCCTGTACCACCAAGAAGCGCCTGTCTCAAACACTGTTCGGACGTTGCGCGCTACCCAGCACCTCTGCCGTCGCCTCAGACGCGCTTCTGCCACCTAGAAAAGCCTCAATCAGGTCTCACACGACCAGATCTCTCCACAATGCCCACTCCCCGCCCATCAGCAACCCAGCCCCTGCGACCAGTCCAACAAATGGTTCTCGCCTACCATAGCACGGCGACGCGCAATGCCGTCTCCGGGCTAAAGTCTTCGGTCCATCTCTTCCTCCGCAACCAGCCCAAGGCGCCCGAGAAGCTCCCCCGTAAACAGCTTCCTCGAATGTTGAAGCGCAATTGGCGTGCTCCCAGAGTCAATTACGCCTGATGTATGTCTTGGCTGTTGAGACGGTGGAGACAGCGCCCAGAAAGACTAGAAGTAGAGCACGAATATGTGCTAGATGCCCTAGGAAACAAAGAGCAGACGGACAGATCTGCTGTGTACGACTACCATGATATGGAGTTATCGGCTGGGCAATAAGGGCGAGAGCGCATATGTAACAACAGCTACAGATACCCAGCTCCTCGGATCTATGAGAACAGCTTCTCAACTCATCTCCACAGATCGTTCCCTCCTTCCAGATCTCTGGTCTCGAGCCGATGACTCACTTCTTCAGCGGCACTGTGTCCACGAAGAGTCCAGACGCGAAGGCCGCTGGGTACCGGTCTCCCTTGACATCAGCCTTCTCAATCAGCTGCCGAATCTCTCTGTCTTCCTCCTTACTGATCTGAACCTTCAGCGCGCCAATGTTCTCGTCCAGGTTCTTGATCTTGGTTGTGCCTGGAATGGGAATAATGTCGTCACCTTGACTCATGAGCCAGGCCAAGACTAGCTGGCCAGAAGTGCAGCCCTTCTTCTCCGAGATCTTGGTGATTGCATCTACGAGCTCCAGGTTCTTGTGGAAATTCTCCTTGTTGAAACGTGGTGCCATGGTCCGGAAGTCGCCCTCCTCGAAGTCATCGGGGGATTTCAACGCGCCGGTCAGGAAGCCACTGATAAGTTCGTTAGCCTCTGTTCATCCTTCCGGGAAAGCGCATCACTCACCGGCCCAGCGGACTATACGCAATAGTCGCCACGCCCAACTCCCTACATGCCTTCAACAGCCCCACCCTCTCATCCTCAATGTCCATAGTGAAAGGACTGTACTCAATCTGGACCGCATCAATCTTCACCACTTTACACGCTCTCCTCAAACTCTCCGCGCTACATTCACTCAACCCCAAATACTTTGCCTTCCCCTGCTCCTTCAACTTCTTCATCGCTCCGACAGTCTCCTCGATCGGCTGATCCTTATTCAATCGATGACAGTAATACAAATCCACGTAATCCAGCTCAAGTCGCTTCAGACTCTTCTCCAATGCCTGGGGGATGTATTCCGGATCATTCCGAATCGACCTCGCCCCCGTGTCAGGGTCGACGAAGCTTCCGAACTTGGTGGCCAGGAAGACACGTTCGCGCGCGCCCGGGTTAGCCTTGAACCATTTCGCGATGAGGAGTTCGTTGTCGCCGTAGATGTCGCTTGAGTCCCAGTTTAGGCAACCGGACTTATAGGCGTGGTCGAGCACGGCCAGACGTTCGTTGTCGGGCAGGGGTTTGCCGTAGAAGGCGGAGAGGCCCATGAGGCCGAAGCCTAGGGCGGAGACTTCGGGGCCGGTACTGCCTAGCCGGCGGGTTGGGAGGGCGGCTGGTGTTGACATGGTTGTGTGGTGTGACTTCTGGTGGTAGACGTGAGTCCAAGAAGTGGCTCGGCTTAGGTTGTGTGCTATTTAGTTGAGGGCCTGGATGAGTCGCTAGGCAGTCGCGAAGTCTGATGGAAGATCTGGTCAGAGTGAGAGATTTTAGTGTGGGATGTCCTCGTAATATCTTTCTGCAATGTAGATCAGACAGTAACTTGAAGAGCAAGATCTATTCACGTCTAGCGGAAGTGCTTCCTAAGTACAAACCTTCGTCCGGCAACGAGTCAATGACGCCAGCCATTGCCTCGGACATGGAGATGATAGTCGTAGAGACTCGACAGGTACGACGACTCGTTCCACTCAGCGCATACTTTCGGAGTGGTCGGCTTTCATCGGTCGCAAAGAATCAGAGCCTTCATAGCATGAATTGTCTTGCACGTTAGTCGTGTCGCCATTGTGATCAGGAATCTCCGTTGCGCTCGTTGAAGATGACGACGAAACACACATCCTCGATTGGTTCGGCTTTAGGATTTTTGACTGAGTTTGCCCTGTGCTTGGCGGACATGCTTGGTCATTGCTAGCCAGGTCGTGTATTCGCAATGCAGGTGCGGAACTGGCATGCACGGTCGTGAAATGTTCCGTCGACCTGGAGGGAATTGCGAGATGGAGTGCTAGTGGCTGGAAGCTAGATGTCTCGCTTGACGTAACCTGCGACTCGGACAGGCGGCAATTGCGGCCGTCGAGTGACCGTATTGGGAAGTTTTTATCTCCATGACATGGAAGTACTAAATAAATCCGAAATTGTATCTACGAGTATGTACAGAACGATGGCAGCTATGTGTCGAAACATGGCAGCCCATTGAATATCACCAGATGTCGGTACGCGCCCTTGACAGCACTCATCGCAATGACCGTCGCAAATGCGATGTCTGTCAGTGTCGACCACTCCAGCCTGGATGTTAGTGGCATATCTCTGCCGTCGCCGTCCCCAGACACATCTGATCTAATCGAGAGCTTTCTTTGCTGTCCCGGTATACTCACACCGTAGACTCTTGCGATCTCCCGGAGATGAGCCTCAAAGAGCTCTTGAAAGTGCTGTCGATCCAAAATCACTGGCACCGAACCCTGTGATCGCACGACATAAAACCCACGAAACATCTCCACTGCGATCACGTTGTTCCTCGCAATTACACCAAGCATATCGATACCACCCCTTATGCGAATCACCGCCCTCAGCCCTGCAATGTGTGCCTGATAGTGGTCGAAGTTGCCAGCTACAGCATCGAAGGCGATGATCAACGCGATCGTTAAGACGACAGCGTCTGCCAGTGGCGACTGCGTCATCACTTTGTTGAGTAGCCCCAAACACCTGCCTTGTGAAATAGCGGTAGTTGCCATGGCTGAGGCGACTTGAGTGCCATGAGTTGCAATCCATAGGCCAAGTATGCTTCGAAAAGGACGGCGCTGGTCCAGATAAGGTCCAAGCACGCAAATTGGCACACTGCGCCCTTGGAATGAGGTCCTCCATCCAGAACCTGATCACAGTCTGGATGTATGGTCGGCTGCCTACAGACAGTTTTTCAGACGAGTTGAGATTGTATGTCTGAACCAAGTTCTCGTGATCAGATCGACCATTGCAAACCTCGCTGCAATCGTGACGTGAAATAGCTAAGCTCCGTGGTGGCCACTGAAGATGACTGGCTTCCGCTGCTTCACGCTCCCAGGACGAGGCGACGCTTGAAGCAGGAACACATACTTGCGGAGATTGCTCTGTTTGCTTGGTTGGCTTGCTGATTGCGCGATTTGTGCGAGAGTGTGTGTCTTCGATCGAGTTCTCCGTAGGTAGATGCTCAGACTTCTTCGCCCTTCTCACAGGCGGGCGCTTAAGGCGAGGAACATTCCTGGATCGCGTCGTTCCTGGAGCCGTGCTGGCCTCTTTGGCTGTGAAGTAACGCTGCGATCCATCCTGCTCGAGCTTCCTGCGACGCTCTTCTCGCCACTGAGCTTTGGAGAGATGCGACGCTATCTCGAAGCTTTCATTTGCAGTAATCGAAATAGATTCCGTATCTTTGTTGATGAAGAGGAATCCACCGTTGGATGCCATCCTGCCCAGATCATGGTAAGCTCACAGACAGTCAGTCTTTGGGCACCGCAGCGAATGGCAGCAATTGAGGTAAGCCATGGCGCGGTCGCTCAAACGTGTAGAGACCGTCGTTGAGAGCCTGAAGTCAATTGAAGTCGAAACTCGGTAGTGGGCACCACAGGAAGTTGAGCTGACAGGTACTAAGGCGAACCGATAGTGCTAGTCTACGCGAAGCGGGCTAGCCATTCTTTAGAACTGTTCCATTCTCCTTTGTGATCGGGATTCTCGGTTTGAGCATCTTCATCAAGATCAGAGAATGCTGTGACGGGCACTATTAGGCCGGCGACCTCTTCTATCCGACTGACCCTGAGCTTGTGCCTGCCGACAATATGCTGTATGGGAGACGAGGCGCGAGAGGTACCTGATTGAATCGGACGATCCTCAGCTGTCCCTGCAGATCGACGCTGTCAAATGCATCAGTGGCGCGGGGAAGGCCCCCGCTAGGGAATCTCCTTATCAAACTCACTTCTCTTCTCGAGAGCAACAGCCTCCATTATCCGTGTATGTCTACGGAATAGATGCCAGACCTAGAAGATGCAGAGCATTCCGTCGTCGCAGCGTCATTGGCAAGCTGTGCGCTTGTGTAACGTTCCAACGGGTCGAAAGCGCCGTGGCCCCTTCTGTTCGTGCGCCACAATGCTTCCGCTTGCAATTCTTGCCTCGCAACATATTGTGGCGCCAACTTCGTTGCTGTGACAAGCTACCTATGTAGCTGCTGGACGTCCTGTTGAGTAAGTCTGTACAACGTTCATATTTCCTTTCTGCATCAAGGTAGCCGGGCGATGTGTTGTTCTGCCTGGAGCTCCTCTGCATCGATTGCGGCTGCGCGACCGTATCAGGTATGCCCGGACACGCCAGGGACCGATACCCGGGCTTCCTTTCTCTCAGTACATCTTGACGTCGAGGCTGCGATGGTGATTTTTCTCTGCCAGAAGACAGCGATGAGGTATGCGCGTGCGTGCGTGCGACGGAGAAGTGCAGCGGTAGGAATGAGCTACAATTCCGGAACTTCAGCGCAGCTTGGGTGGATATCCTGGAAACCGCCGTTTTACGGAGGTCTAAATGCAAGCTGATGAAAAGACACGGAGGCCTTTCAGCGACCATACTCGGACATCGACCTCTGTCATCCTGTCGAAGCTCGTCGTCGCCCGCCGTCTCATTCATCATCCATAGATCAGGATATCATCATGGCTTCGACCACGCCTAGTGCCCTCAGGCGCTGCGGCGAAGCATGGACCGATTTTTTATCAACCGGTCACGGACGACGCCAAATAATCTTCCGCTACCGCCTGAGCTACGGCAGATGATTCTCAGATTCTTTTTCCAGGGCGAGAATATCGAATGGGAACTCTCAAAGCGCGACTTGACTTTACTGTCTCCGTTATTTGTGTGCAGAAGCATGCATCAAGAGGCAATGCCATGTCGTGCTCAATATTGCTGGCTGTCGGTGAAATTGTACTGTCTGGACCACCTGCTCGAGTCAACTCTGCGCGAACACACAGAGGTCTGGGTGAATAGGGGCGTCGCTCCGATCCCGGGATCCTGCGAGTGCCGGGACTTCAGGACTACGATGTTCCTGTTGCACAACATTGAAAGGCTCGCTGTGAGGATCGAGAATGTGCAGTGCCCGCTCCGCACAGGCCTTATCTTCGTACGATTCCCTAAACTGAAATATCTTGCCATCCGCAGACGAGCCGATTTTCTAGTAGCCGAGGATAGGCATACGAAGACTATGGACATCGGATTTTTCAACTCGAAAGCATTCGTAAGCACCTCCCGGTCCAAAAATGATAATCTCCTGAACCGTGCACGGTTGCCTTACGCTTATGCCATGCTCGATATCGGACTGAAACTGACAATTGCTCAGAAACAAGTTCGAGAACTGTATAGATTCCACAGTCATAGTGAGGACTGGCTAGGACCATGCCGACATTCGGAACGACGCCCATTTCGGTACACAGGCTATGCGACCTTGGCTTCACTTTGCAAATCCCTAAGGGTACAGTTGCAGTTTGGGTATTGTTGGAAACCACTGAACTCGTCAGAGGAGATGCGTCTGTGTACTGACAGCGAATTCAGTCGTGTTCATATCGAGGGTGTCTCGAACGATGGTCGGCCGTGGCGGTTCTCTGGACCGTTCGTTGCAGCAGTTCTTCCCAAGTGGAGACCTCTCTATCTCGAAAGGGGCAAATTGAGTCAGGGAAACAATTCAGCACGTGGAAATTGTATGGCTTGCATATCAGCAGACATTGGCGCAAGATTTAGGCCCTTACGACTTGCAAGCAATCTCCAAGCGAGTGAGATCTCCGGGGTATCCTACAGAGGTATTGTTGAAGGTGCCACAGATACTCGCACAAAGACAGCTTATGCGGGGCGTCCTAGACTTGGGAGGCCCTTGCTGGCGAGAGCGAGTCAGAGCTACCTATCGAGACATCGTGAGCGACGGGACAGGACGCAGCGTCACTGGCTGAAAGGTTCCTCATTATGTCTACGGCACACTACAGACCATTCGGTACCAAGCTAGTCGCAAAGATCGAGATAGACGCATGGAACGTATGGACGCATATGCAGCTTCAGAGACAGTGGTCTACAATTCTACTTCATGCACGACTTTTCAGTACCAAAAGACTTCCTAGACCCTCGAAGTCCCCTTCATCATTGCCCAACGATGTGACATTCGGTGCTTGTGAACCACAGATCCCATGGGCCTTTGATCTGACCATGTGTGACGGTTGGAGCAGCGAAGTTCCCTGGCCAGCCGCGATCCATCGGATCACCAGCGGCGGCATCGTCGATGGCAATCATTTCGTCTTCTGTGAGGGAAATGCTCAGAGCCGCAATGTTGGCTTTCAAGGTATTAATTGAACGCATGCCGATGATGGGGTATGAGTAGGGTGCTTTCTTGCTGTTTCAGGAAAAGAGGACTGGTCAGTGGAAAGTTCATACAACAGACTGTCAATGTTGCGGGAGTATGTGCACTCACATTGCCCATGCGATGACAACGCCTGCCATGCTGACGTCCGTCTTCGTTTGCTGACTTTTCGCTTTGGCGATTTTGCCAATGACGTCTCTTGCTCGAGTGAGACGTTCTTCGTCTGCCACCATGGTCCTGCGATCGGTGTTGCCTGAATTAGGGGGCTGATTGCCAAAAGAGCCCTGGCCTAAGACTCCCCAGTGAGCCCTATCAAAGGAATTAGCATGAGCATGTATCTGGAAGAACTACAGCTGAGTCCCGCCCGATTCAAGTTAATCGGCATACGTACATCGCCATACCATCGTGCTCGCAGAGCCCGAATATGTCACGTTCAAGTTCGCGGTTGAGTGGAGAGTAGCGGCCTTGGTACTTTGAGACAACGGCGTCAGTGATGCCTACGCGTACGTCTTGCGGAAAGGGAGACTCACAACAACGAACTGACGCAAGCCATGGTCTTGTGCATATTGGTTGGCTTTACTGACGATCCAGGCTGGCGTATTGGATATTCCTAGATAAGTGACTTTGCCTGCTGTGACAAGATCATTGAGATATGTCATGACTTCTTCGATAGTTGTGTCGTATGTCCACTGGGTTTGTTACACAATCAGCCATCCTCACCGCTTTTCTCATGATCAACTTGGATGGACCTGAACTTACCGCATGTAGATAGAAGATGTCGACATGGCTCGTTCTCAATTTCTTCAAGCTACTGTCAAGACTCGACCTCATTGACTTGGCCGAATTGCCCCCGTAGTTTGCTTGTATCCTTTTCCTGCCTTCTCCATAGTTGGTCCACGAAGCTGCGTATTTTGTAGCAATGACCATCTCTCGCGACAATCACGCGACTCCATCCACTCGCCGACCCATTCTTCGGACTGCCCATTGTGGTATGCATTTGCTAAGTCGATGAAGTTCCCGCCCTGTGATCTATAGTAGTCAAGCAACTCGAAAACGGCACTCTTCTCCATCTTTCCCAGGATTGATGCCCAGTCGCTATCGCCGAACGACATGCCGCCGATCCAGATAGGCGATACGCGCAGACTGCAACGGGGCGACAGAATGCGATAACGCGCCAGCTCGCTGGCTGGCGGGGCAGCAGGTTCAAAGACCATGGTTGTTTTCGTTCGTGAGGATAGTGTGAAGGACGGACAGAGCACGGGCGTAGTGCGCGAGGTTCACTTTGAGCTTCGCGGAAGACCGTGTCGTGCTGATGGCTTACTCTTATATTGAACGGCCCCATCGGCAGCGCGTGCTTCATTCGTAGCGGTCAACAGCTCAAGGGTCAGCATCTCACCTGTATTTCCGTTTGCAGCATCGTAGGGTGAGGTCGTCGGCAGAAACATATTGCTGGCTGCAGATTTTAGTCATCGTCCAGTGTTGTAGCAAACGACCTGGACTTGCAGCAGGATCGGGAAGCAATAGCTTTCATTACCGCATCAAACGCGGAGCGGTCTCAACACGAGGTGAGCGAGACAGCCAGATGTCACGGTAAGGATGATCGTGGCGGATCCCAAACTAGCACGTAATTTGCATGAACGCTGGGAAGGTGTCAATGTCATCGCCGGGTTGGTGGCGCTTGGATTGTGCCAAGTAACTCGGATGCAGTAAACGCCTGCGCCTTCCTATTGGCTTACCACAGTCAGGCATTTGCACTTTCGCGAACTCGCTCCTTGCTCGTCCTTGCTATATAATATATATCTAGGTAGGTACTTTACATCTCTGCGCTCGTCGAGCAAACCAATTCCTGAGGTCATCGCGCCACGTCCAGAGATTCGCGGTTCTGGACCACAACGAGCCATTGCGCGGGCGAAGCCTGATAGCGCCCTTTCCAAACCTACGGAGTGGCTTAGGCAATGACTAATCGCTCTTCTTGCAACACGTTGGAGGCATGGAATCAAATAATGACCCTAGTTATGGCGGTGACCAACACAGGGTGCAGAATATGTACGCGACTGGGACAAATTGTGATTTCGTTGAGTCACCCCCTTCTAGCGGCACATCCGGCGGCCTGGATGGATGTCACAAACTTGCATTATCATCGACTAATACCCGGCGCCACACCACATTCTTTTCCTGTACCCAGGCCCGGCGGCTGGCAGCAGGCTCTTGTAATCGACTTGACGCTAACAGATCAGGTTCTTCATCACAGCCAAGAGAGCCTCTGCCTCATTAGAGACCACCTCAACATCGCGTACGCAAATTCACTTCCTCCCCTCCGCTTTTCCCTGCCCATCGCTCTTCCCACTGGTCGAATCCTAATAAGTATACCGAAACCGCCGGTTCTGGAAATCTGTCAAGTCATCCAAGACTTCACTCTCACTCACGCCTCCCTGTCCCTGATTCTGACCCATCCCGGCCTCATCACCTTCTGCTTGTCTCTCTCCAGCTTCGCGATCACGCCGCTTGTTCCGGCTCACGAGCAGGATTCTCAGTGCTACCGCGAGCACAAACTGCGCGACGCTGCACCCGATGACGGTGCGCACGCCGGTCTCATAGATCGGGGCTTCGGAGGCGAGGAAGGCGTGTGGGCCTAGAGTCGGATTTAGCTTGGGCTTGCCTTGGGGGAGATGGCAGGTGGGAACTATGAACTGGGAACGATGACGATCCAAGGAGAGAGTAGCGACTTACCGACTATGTTTCCCGCACAGTAAGCAAGAAACACGACCGCGGTTCCAGTGACGCGCTTCGTGTACCCGCCCAGGTTGCTCGCCGGGAGCTGCAGCGCCAGCACAAGGGACGCGACGAACGATCCGATCTGTACGACATATCAGCAGCAGGAACACGACGAGAGGGGTTTCTGACAACGTACAATGTAATAAGACACAAGACACCCTGGCACGTTGGTCCTGGGCAACTTGTACAGCAGAGTTGTCCCCACAATCGTCGGAACCAGATACAAACACATAATCACCGTACGCGAGTTCTTGATTTTGGATGCAAGGTACGGCCCCGAAAACACCCAAGCGACCTGGAATGCGCCCTGCGGGATCCCATATGCCGTAGTCCGCAAAGAATCGCCCTTTACAACGTTCTTGATGATGAGTTTCCCGAAGTTGCTAATGCCGCCATTGATGACTTCATTGGCAAACACAAACAGAAACAACAGCCAGACCTGCAGATCTGTCAGGGCCTCGATGATGTGGCTGACTTTGATTTTGCGATTATACACGCCCGTGCGATTGGCTTGGACGCGCGCGATAAGGAGAGCTTTTTCCTCTGTCGTGAACTGGCGCGCGGACATGATGTTCGCCGGCAAGAACGCAAAAAGCACGATGCCCCAGACAACTGTGAGCCCACCGCAGATGATGTAAATGGTCCGCCAGACGGCCAGGGTCGTGCTGTAGCCTGTGCCGTAGAACAGGAGGCCACCAACTGCAGAACCAAAGCCGTTGAAGCAGTAGAATATGCCCGCGCGCGCTGGCTGCTGCTCCTTTACGTACCACATGCCGACGATCATCATGAAGGCAGGGGTGATGACGCTCTCGAAGCAGCCGAGGAAGAAGCGACAGATGGCCATGCCGGTGAAGTTGTGCGACGCCACTGTCAAGAGCATGATGCAGCCCCAGATGGTCACGAAGCCGGCGATCACACGCGAAGTGTTGAATCGCTGCGCCAGATAACTGGAAGGCCACTCAGCGACGAGGTACGCCATGTAAAATATAGACGCCAGCCACGAATATTCCGTCTGCGTGATACCCGTCGAGGGGAAGAGATCAAACACGGCGCTGTAGCTCAGCGCCTGCTTGTCGATGAATTGCAGGAAGAAAGTGCCGCACAGCAGTGGCATAAGGGTGCGGTCGACCTTGCGAACTAGGCGCTTGTTGAGGTCGGCATCCTGCAGGAGCTCGGCCAGGTAGGCTTGCGTATAGTTGTGCTGCTGCAGAAAGATGCCTGCTTCATCGAGGTCGGTCACGGTGCCCGCGCTGGTCTCAATGGTTGCCTTGAGCTCCGAGCTGTCGTCCATTGCTGAGGCTAGCTTCGTTGAGGAGGTGGCCTGGTCTTTGGCGCCTATTGCTTCGGGCTTTTCGTGAGGTGACATGGTGGGCCGGGGATGAGGAGGCTGAGGCTATGGCGAGACTGTGCTGCGTCCATGATCTATATAAGCCGTCTTGCGGCCGGCTTTGTTGTCGTCCTGTTCATCAGGTCGTTATCTGTGGAGTTCCGCTTGCGTGGAGGCCCCCTGATAAGTTGACAAACTTGTCTGGTCCATCTCGTTGACAAGGTGGAGTTGATGGGAGAGGCGATAAGAGGCATCTCCCGGTCAGGTGGGCAAGGTATCGCATGTCGGGAGCTTATTCCTGCCGCATGCTTTTACTAGAGGCATTACGGCATTTGCTTGAGGACCAAAGGGTTCCGAGCGGGTCGACGGGTGAGTGAAGGCATTGTCCTTCAGAGTGACACGGCATATCCGTCAATCCTGACGGGATCGCCGTCAGTATCGGCGTAATGTCGGTCGACCCGATGAAAACTCCGCTTGCCAGTCCCGCATGTTAAGAACCGCCCAAGCTTATCAGATGGCTCTTTGAGACTCGGCCATAAACCTGACGCCGAAATGTGGCAGATGAGAATGCGTCGGGGGATGAGAGAGGTGCCGCTGTTCGATAAGCTCGCCGGCGGGTTCGCAGGGAAGAAAGGGTAGCCCCCTGAACGCAAAGCTGATTAAGAGAATCTCGCCAGCCTTCAGGGAAGCGCTAAGAGCCAGACATGTGCCTGCGCATATCTAGGAGGTTTTTGATATCGCATATGCGCGCAGGGGCAAGAGCATGAAGGATGTGGTCCCAGACATCGTGAATGGGACAGCACCGACAAAGGCGGCCCTGCAAGCGTCGACGATTGAAAGTTGGTGCCAGCCTCAAACAACACCTACCTACTTACCTATGTACGATGCAAAGAACCTAATACTTGCTCTTCGGCTCTCGTGCCCTTCTCAATCCTCATAAACCCGACTCCACCTCTCCCAGAATTCACACTGCTTCATAGCCCAGTCGTCCTTCAACAAAGATGCCGGTCCATTTCCAACCCCAGTGCCCCCAGCACGCTCATCATTACCTAGCCCAAACACCATGGTCTTCCTACTTGTTCCGAAATCCGCCCACTCAGGCCTCCCTCCACCATTTGGATTTCCCGTGGCAATGAAGTCAGTAATGTACCCATGGAACGTCCTTGCCAGACGATCTTGGTGCTCGCTGATGCCTCTGACCGTAGGATCCATAGCCTCGTACCACATCTGATCGCCGTGGTTCGCGCCGCCAGCGACCGTCTGGTTCAGCGCCCAATGATATAGAAACACGCTTGTCCCCAACTTCCCGGCCGCCTGACGCGCCGGACACGCGTACGCATACTGTCCGTAGGCGGCCTCGACGCGCATGTACTGCTCGCCGCGGTCGGGCCGCCACTCGATGTATTCTTCCTGCGGATATAGGGCTGCGACACGTTCCGTAACGTGCGGGAGCAGGGTTTGGAAGAACGTGTCGAACTGAGCGGGTGTGGACATGTCTTTGGGTACATACATGGTCCCCTCGTTGTGGTTGAAGCCCGTGATGACAGCGATGTTTTTGGGCCAGTTCTGGTCCAAGGTCCGGCCGGGCACGAGCTCGTTGTCGATCACGGGCTGCCACGCCCAGCGTACGAAGTGGTTGTATGCGTCGAAGACCTTGGATGAGGCGGCGGTGACGGCGCTGGAGGGCAGCTCGCGTAGGCATTGCACAGTCGTACAGTTCAGCTCGTCTAAGAAGAGCTGGTATTGCTCTTCGTGGAGTTGGGAGTCAGGAGGGTGGAGGGCTCTGGAGGTCGCACCACCGGATTCTGTGATTGCCTTGTGGAAGACGCTCTTTCCGTTGAGTAAATGGTGTCCGATAGAGTGGGCGCCGGCGGAAAGACCCATGACTGTGACGTCGTCTGGATTGCCGCCAAACGCCCGAATGTTGTCCTGAACCCATGATAGTAGAAGCACTTGATCCCACAGGCCCAGATTTAGGATGCCCTCGCGCGCAGTTGCGGCTGAATTCAAGAACCCGAGAGCGCCGAGCCTGTAGTTGAAAGATACGGCCACAATCGGCTGAGCTGCATGCGAGACCATGGACGCCGTGTCATGGATCTTGGCCGTACCACGGTTGAAAGCCCCTCCGTGAAAGTACACCGCAACGGGCATAAGCTGGCCCGAGGTGTTGGCAGGGCGGAAAATATTCGCCGTCAGACAATCCTCACTATCGTCGCTTGCGCCGGGTACCGCCAGTAACTGCTTCCCTGGGCATCTTGGGCCATACGTCTGGGAGTCGTAGACCGTAGTGTTCGAGTCCGGCACAGGCTGAGCACGCTTGAACCGCAGCTCACCTACCGGCGGCTGTGCATAAGGGATCCTGTAGAATGCCTCCACCTGCTGCGCAAAATCGCCTCGTTCCAACGTCACGCCGCGAACCTTTCCTTGACGCAGGACGATTTCTGGCCTCCTCGACGACGGATCAATAAGAAGGTAGGCCAGAGCAGCGACAATGACAGCGAACAAGAGTCCATTCCTGGGACTGAGCAGTGACCCTGACCCCATGGCGTCGAAGCGGTTGACTGTCGACAATCACAGTTGGAAGGACTTCTCAGATATACAACCCGATAGGTATTATAGTGGGCAGTCCATAGTGAGGCTCGGAAGATGATCTATTCCTAATCGTCGCGCTGTCAGGGCAAGATTCTGGTTGGTCACTTTAGTGCAGAATCGGGTGCGGGAATGAGGACGGCTGATGCGGCGGGATCGCCGACCTCGGAATGGACTGCTCCTCTGCAACGGACGCGATGCCTTCTACGCAGGCCGCTGGGACCGTGGTGGGCATGCTGAGCTCCACACGCTCGACGTGCTTATCTGTCTGTCTTGTGCACTCTCTCATGCTGTGTCGCGACCTGATCATTCATGCTGTCTTGCGTCTCGGACGTCGAGGTAGGATCGCCAAGAAATGTCACTCCGATTTGCCCGATTTACAAATGACGCAGGTACGTTCCGTGTGAATGTGCTGTTTGATCGTATCCTACGCGATTTATCTGCTCACGCGCACAATGCTCTAGGCGGCCTTGAGAAGCTTCTACGACTTGTACACGCTGTGTGCATAATCGTTGCAGCCTACATGCCCAAGCTGGCCCCAGCGTTGAACCCAGCTAAGAGTCATATTGTCGTCGGTCAGTCGCAATGATTTCACTGTTGCCACGATCTTAACAAGCTGTCTGCCACAGCGAGACGATTCTTCCGCACCTTTAAATGGATTGACTGCTGGTCCGCGGCGTCTCAGCAGCCTGCTTCCGTGTCCGGCATGGTCGAGGCGACTAAATGGATGTGTCTGGGCATGTTTCTCTTCCTTGAGATGCTGACGATTGTGAGTCCCTCATCCCTGATGCCCAGTCATCATAGAAGTATGTCTCCTGTGGAGTTAAGGGACTCATTCGTACAACACGATCACAGAGCGATGCGCTTTCCATCACAACGACTTCTTGGGGCCCTCTTTGCTTCGTGAGGCGTTGAAGTTTTGGTTTTACTCGATTTCTGTGTCGTGGCTGCAGGGAATCTGGCAAGCATTGTTTGCACAGTGGGCAATAGCGACAGCATCATCCAAGCGGACTCCGGAGAAGGTCACATCGCAGGCGAGCTCAGATCAGCAGGCTGACGAGCTGCCTCAGAGCCAGCGCCACTTGGTGTGGCAGCAGCTGCTGATGGATACTTGCGACCTGTTCGTACCTGGCCAGGCGCTAGGCTGGCTTCCGGTATCTTCAGGGTATGTGGGGACGTTGATGCTCCTCAGTTCAGTTGTTGCAGGGCGCCGAATCTGGCAGCGGATCAACGCACCATCAAGACGAACACCTTGAGAGAGCATACTGTGAGGCCACTACAGCCATCTCGCCTCGATCACTCTGTTCATTTCCGGCCAGGACCGAGACCTTGAACACAGATTGAGGCTTTCTCGCGGGCATTGGTGCTATATGTGCTCGGTCTCAGCGAGCTCAACACCCATGAAAGTGGCGCCAGGGTGGTCCCAGCTAGTTGCTTCGAGGCTGAGAGCATCCCAGGGATCTGTTGTGAAGATAGGGTCTGCGCAAGTCGGCTGATTAGCGAGAAACGGTAGCATGAAGAAGGCTGCAACATACTGAAATAGGCAGGGTTCGGTGCCCTCGTAGCCGAAGGCTCGATCCAATTCGGGCTGCCATATGTGCCCCCCTCGTAATGCTGTTCTTCTTCATGGATCAATTCTGGGCTCGTAGGCTCGCATGATGGGCTTCGACGTCTGCTTGGGCTGGACTCGATCGTAGCGAGCCAGTCATCAAAATCGAACTTGGACTTGAAATTGGTTCGGGACGTTTCTCGGTCTTTAGAGCTGAGTTGTCGTAAGTAATTCATCATCCCGTCCTTTACATCCTGAAGGTTTCCTCTCCAGTCGATGGCCATGTCGGCGACGTGAATCAAGGAGAGCATGGTGAGGTGATTGAGCTTGTAGTAGAGTGATATTTGGCGGATCTACATTGGACTTCAGGTCATGCTTTGGATGGTGTTGGATTCCATGGCACTTACCCAGTGGAGAGGGAGGTCCCAGTAGTGTCCGATAGTGTTGAAAGCACACATGGTGACCTGGAGAGATCTTCTAGCCCTCTCCTTTGACAGCAGGCCTTCTAGATTATCGAACTTGAATATGCTGAAGAAAACATGGATACCTGCTGCCGTGAACAGACCTAGCCCAGTGAAAGGGTAGACACATGTTGCGAGATCAAGCTCGTCCATGCGTTCGAAAAGGTATGTGATAGCCTCCGCGTTTTCCACCATCTCAAGAGTATACTTGCCCCACCAGTCGGGCGGAGGCATGAGGTTGGAGGGAAGCAGTGGTGTATCGTCCGACGGCCCTACAGGGCGTCAATAACGGGAGGTTCTAACGATGTATCTGTATGTGAGACACGACTGACCTGCTGTGGGATCATAGTCCCTGGAAGGAGTAAAGGGAAGGTATTCTCGATAGAGACACGTCTTGGCCTGGAGGTAAAACATGAACATGAGAGCCCACAACTTTCCTTGACCTGCAGCGACAACGAGCGAAATGTTTGGTACTTGAACGTCCCAGTGTGAGGGTAGACGCTTTCTCCAGAGAGAAAGCGACTTCGTGTAAGTGTCGAAGGGTGCAAGTGGCAGCCAGGGGCACTTTGGGTCGGAACGGCGACCGCCACGCCCTTGCCAGAGCATAATCTTGCTCAAAATGTCAACAATGCGGATGGTATGAGAGAGCAGACTCTCAAAAGCAGCTTCGTCGGCTTCTTCGCGCAGTTCCTTCAAGCGTGCCGTCTTCTGATCACGCTCAAAGATAAAATCCTCGTCGGTCTTCGGTTGGTGGGTGGTGGCGTCTTCAAGTGCAAGCGTCGCGATCCGATCACGTCCGTTCGCGAGCAGCCTCTCCAAGCAGAACATGCACCAGAATGTTCGACGCCTCACTTCGATCTCAGTCGCGTTCCGGGCCGGCCTTGATGGCGCTCCCCAGTCAAAAGAGGTTTGCTCCATATCTTCTTTGTGCAGCCGGGCGAGTTGCGACAGACGGACGGCGTGCCCAATGTGAAGCCATGCTCGGTGCTCTAAACCATCGCCCACTTCGACAACACATAGTATCAAGTAGCATTGAATCGCTGTGACGGAGGGCTGCTCTGACAACTTGCTGACCTCACTTCTCGCAGCTTCATAATAATCAGGCGGGCGCTGTTCGGATGCCGAGGAGCAGAAGCCCGGCAGGAATCTGGCTCGGAGCAACGGTGAGCTCGGCTCTGGAACTGTGTGAAGAGCCTTGCTTGCCTACCTGATCGTCAATGCGAGGATGCATAGCAGTAGCGGCTGCGGAAGCTGATCTCCCGAAGGATCTTCAATGAATTGCTGAGGCGGTAGGAAGCATAGCAGCGTGTTTGCGTAGTTGTCGCGGAAGAATGATATAGCGGAGCTTCGTAATTGGCGCGGAGGCAGCCTTTCCAGTAGCTATCAGTGAAGTGTACACCTCTACGACACATGTACAAGGCATACGGTAGCTCAGGCCCAGCCCGTGTGTTTTCGTTCTCAATTGATCCACCGGTGTGGTGTTCAGTCCGGGGTAAACGCAGTCACGTTGTTTGCTCCTGCAGTTGGAGCATTGTGGCCATCCACCAGAGCAGCGCGTTTTCCGTTGCCTGTAGCCGTCAGCCGGGAACAGCTACGATGGACAGACCAGGGGCCAAGTCTGGAGCAATTACCTGCAGAATACACACGCAACCGCTGTACGTCGCTCGGCCCTCTTCCTGATGCGAGCAGGGTCCGACAAGGCGGGACATGGCCCTGGTGCCTGCATCATTCAGCTAGCATCGAGTAAGCGCCATGGATAGTCCCCCGTACGAACGACCGGAAGAGGCGTGACTTGAAGCAACGGTCGACGGATCTGCCGCAACAAAATCCAGGAGATGCCGTCGTGCCAAGACGGCGGAGATGCCGCCCAGAGCCCATGGCGCTGAATAGAGTTCGACGCTCCACCTCCCTTCAATGCGGTCGGCTATCTAGTAACGTGCCTGTAGAGAACGCCTTACCCATGGTAGTAACGAGCAGGTGATACCGGAACTCAAGTTGTGGGACCAGCCGGCAAGCCCTCTGCGCAACTATGCTTGACATTGCTATGGCCACCTTCTACATGTATGTTGAAGACTGTCCTCAACATCGACCAGCAGCGGCAAGATCTCATCATGGCGACCCTAGTGACAACCAGCGTCGATGTTGATCATGCAAAGACCACACGTGCATTGACCTACATCACGTCTAGAAGCGTGCCCACAGCCGAGAACGAGCTGAAAGCCGCGATAGGACGATATGCTTCGGCAAACCCAGGCTCCAAGGCCGCTCACCTAGCAGCCGCAGAGTTGATGCCTGGAGGCAACACGCGGTCGGTTCTGTACAACGACCCTTTTCCCATTTGCATGGAAAGAGGCCAAGACCACTCTTTGTGGGATGTTGATGGCCACAAGTACGTATTAGCCGTTGGCACTGATGTACAAATGTTGATGTTGGCTTCGAATAGATACCTGGACCTGGTGGGCGAGATGACTGCTGGCCTCTATGGACACTCTAATGAAGTTCTTCAAGAGACAATGGCATCGACCTTCAATAAGACCGGAATGAGTCTCGGCGCTCATCATCTGGAGGAGCAAAAGCTGGCCACGATCATTCGCGAACGATTCCCGCTCATCGAACACTTGAGGTTCTGCAATTCGGGAACGGAGGCGAATTTGTACGCACTTAGCATCGCTCGCAAAGTCACAGGCAAGCGGAAAGTGATTGCCTTCAGAGGGGGCTACCACGGTGGCGTGCTTGGTTTCGCTCACGGCGTCGGCGCCAACAATGTCGACTCTGCTGACTGGCTGGTCGCAACCTACAATGACATAGCCCAGCTTCGTGCCATGTTTAGTAGCAACGAGGATGTCGCTGCTGTCATTGTTGAGGCGATGCAGGGCGCAGGCGGGTGCCTTCCGGGAGAAATTGAATTTCTCCAGGCGATTGAGGAGTTGGCGTCGAAGGTATGTTTGCGGTGTCGTAACACTTTGGATAGTTTCTGACCAGAGTCCAGCACAATGCAATTTTCATACTTGATGAAGTCATGACATCACGGCTTCATCCTGCAGGTCTGCAAGGCAAGTACGGGCTTCGACCAGACTTAACAACTCTGGGTAAGTACATGGGTGGAGGGTTTGCCTTTGGTGCATTTGGTGGACGGAGGGACTTGCTCGTCTCGTATGATCCTCGCCAATCGCTGTCCCTCCCGCACTCTGGTACTTTCAACAACAGCACTTTGACAATGGCGGTTCTTCGCCGGATTAAGCAAGATATACACGCCACAGACCAACCTGAATCTTAACGCGCTCGGCGATGACCTTAGAGAACGCCTACAAGCTGTGTCCGGGGGGACCAAGATGGTCATCACTGGTGTGGGCGCGGTGATGACAATCCATTTCCTCGAGAACGGAAAGATACCTGTGCGCAGTGACGATATCGACAAATTTTCGAATGCAAATCTGAAGAAGCTATTCTGGTTCTGGTGTATCGAGCGGGGATTCTGGATTGCTGAGCGAGGTCTGGTCAGCCTCTTGCTCCAGACAACCGAGAAGGATGTCAGCACGTTCGTCAATGCTGTAGAGGGGTTCATCAGTCGTCATCGGATACTCTTAGAGCCTTGACCCCAATGATACCATCACAAAATGATGAGAGATGTGAATCGAGGGTGAGCCGACATTATAAGCGGCAAGAGGCCGACGATCGCGGGTGTGATGTTGCCAAGTATCTCAAATGGAGTAGACGCCGGCGCCTTCTCATTGGCTCGTACAGACTGGGGCATCTGCGAAGTCGATGTCCTTGCTTGTCCGTAGTGATATTGACCTTGCATACTAAGTCTGTGAGATAGTCACGCTAGTGAGCGAGGCTATGGAGGACTGTAAGACACGCTACAGGCATCTCGACATCTGAACATCAGATGATCACCTTGGGTTGTGGACGCCAGTCCCAATGACGCGCTGATGCCTCGGCGTAGCCTGGACCTTGACTGATGGCTTGCGCTTCGTGTAACAGCATGGGATTCTGATATCGATCAAGGACGCCAGGTATGGTGGTGACCACTGCAGGCTGCAGAACATGTACGTCGCTAGTCCAGGAAGTGATATTCTTGACTTGCCTCATCTTCCAGCCCGTTAACAATTTCCTACAGGCAGACAGAGAAAAGTCAAGGTCAGTACCTACTTTTGTCATCAGCTGGCCCCCATCTTAGCTCTCTCAGTGCGACGAAGCGCGACCCAGCTGTCACAAGTGCCTCCGCACAGGCAAAGTATGCGGCGGCTACATTCATACTTACAAGCCTCTCCTCAAGGATGAGCTTGCCGCCACAGCTTTCGCGACGAGCCGGGCCCAGCGTAGTCGCGCAGGCTGCCAAACGTGCAAGCTGCGCAAATTGAAGTGCGATGAGACGCGGCCATGCTGTAAACGGTGCTTGAGAGCGTCGCGCAGCTGCAAATGGCACGTTGAACAGACGGGGCAGGATGGCGGCCGTGTCAATCTGGACAACATCATCATGCATAATGGCGGGATTGTGCCGAGATCACTGACACCACAGCCCGATACTACTCTGGACGAGAAACGGGCGCTGGCGTTCTTTCGACACAAGACAGTCGCTGAGCTATCACAGCGTCGTCGAACACGCTATCACTGGTTGGATTATGTTCTGCAAGCAGCAGAGCAGGAACCTGCCATCCGGTATGGCGTGGTCGCTCTCGGCTCTGTCCATGAAGAGTTCGAGACATCGACCGCGGCGTTCCATTCTAGGTACACTCCATTCGAGCCTCTGTCAGACTCTCATATGGCCATGAAGCATTACAATGAGGCTACTGCTATGGTGCTCGGAACTAGAGTATGGCGGCACCGGGAAACGCCGCTTCTGGCAAGTCTGATCTTAGCAGCATTCGACAGCCTGAGAGGCAGGCCAGAGCCGGCTTTGTACCACCGCTGCAACGGTCTTCGAATCCTTCGCGAGCTTGACCGAAGACTGGATTCGTCCATGTCGGAGTTATTGGTGTGCATTTTCGTCGACTTCGATACCGAAAATCTGGAGTTAGGACAGCCTAACTTTACTTCGCCGTCTGACTGCCACTTCTCTTCGGCGTTCCTCGCAGAACCTCTGCGGGAAGTGACAGGAATCCAGTCAGCCATCGAGGCTTTCGAACTTCTGTTCAATCGGCTCCTGAAAGCCTCGCAGCAGGACCTCCGAGTCTCAAATCCTGGCATCGGACCATCACAGAGGCTGCCCGATGTTCTTCTGCAGTATGAAGAGTGGTGTCTCGCATTAGACGCTTATCTGCAAGCATGCGTATGCAACCTCGAAATTATGGCTGACGATGATAGCTACGGCGATCTGGTCATTCTACAAATGCGACGTCTCATGGTAAAGATATTGCTGAATGTGGACTTACGGCATGACGATATGGACTTCGATCGCTTTGAAGCTGAATTTGCGTGCATAGTCCACTTGGCCGAAGTCTTCACAAATGGGTGCATCATGCCAGATCAGCAGAGAACGATCAGCCTGACTGCCCGCCCTACGAGAGCAGATCATGCGACACTACATCGGAGGCCGAGATGTCTGTCAGACTATACTGGGCCAAGGCAGTCTTTCCTAGGCATCCGCAGCGACCGGACGCCAGTGATGAAATGGGGCACTATTGACGACGCCATCCTTCACACGAGCCAGCTAGTCTTGGCCAGACTACCGCGCGCACAGTCGTATGGTCCCAGGGATGGCACATATGCTCGATCAAGATTCTCTCTCGCACCGGGCATAATTCTCCCTTTGTTCATCACTGCCAGCAATTGCCGCAATCCTGGTATCCGCCGGGGCGCCCTTCGGCTGCTCGAATCCAAACATCGCAAGGAAGGACAGTGGGACTCGATGGTCTGTGCGGCCAACGTAAGGGTAGCAATTGCAGCAGAGGAAGTCCGAGCGTTAGAATTGGCAAAGCTTGGTGCTGAATCACCAGACATCGAACTTTTAGAAGGTTCAATTCGTGAAAGCTGGCAAGTCCCGGACGCTGCAAGGCTGCGTGGATTCGACTGCTTTTTCAACGAGGACCTCCTCGACGAGAAAAAGAACAGGAAGCGCTTCGAATGGTATGCCACGGGTAAGGACTGGAATGTTGCTGTTCCTGGTTGCACAACACAATGAGCACGCAAAAGTCGCTGCAGTACCTTATTCCTCCACCGCTGAGCACTCGGGGAATTGTGTTCCTAACAGCAGTACTCACCACCTTTAAGACCGCAGTATGCATCCAGTGCAATCGTGGACTTAGACGATTGCCTACTCTTCCCACGCCTCAGTCCAAATCAGTCTGCAAGGCCGAGCTCAGGGCCTGGATTGAGCCACCATGATTGGTCACTCGGCAGGTTTTCTTCCGACGGATTTAACAGATCGGACCTAATCTGGCAATACCGCCCTATGGAGCATTCAAGACTTCAGTGGTGCAGAGCCTATATCTAGTGAAAACCATGCAAGCATATGGCTGCCGCAGTATATATCGAACCATAACACCTTGCGCAGCTTCGTTGTCACCATCCCTCAGCTGTTGGTAGAGAACGAATTGAAGCGAAAGCACGACCTTCCGGCGACAATATTGGTCCACCTGACGAGAGGAAGTACTCAACCAACCTCGACTACAGGAAGCTAGCATTTGCGAGCAAATATGGGCTTCTTCTACTCCCAACTCTTTGTCACCCCTCCACTCCCAACCCGCCCCTTCACCAACGAAACAGTCATCGTCACTGGCGCCAACACCGGCCTCGGCCTCGAAGCCGCGCGCCACATCGCCCGACTCGGCTGCTCCCAACTGATCCTCGCCTGCCGCAACACCAAAGCCGGCGAGACCGCCAAACAGTCCATCCTTGCCAGCCTCCCCACCTCAACCCCCAAATCCTCCATCCCAGAAATCCAAGTCTGGCCCCTCGACCTCTCCTCCTACGCCTCCATCACAGCCTTCGCTACCCGCTGCACCACATCCCTACCCCGCCTCGACGCCCTCCTCGCCTCCGCCGGCATCGCCACCGCCAAATGGTCCCTCCTCGAAGGCCACGAATCCTCCATCACAGTCAACGTCCTCGGCACTTTCCTCCTCTGCCTCCTGCTAATCCCAAAACTCGAGTCCACCGCGAAGCAGTACTCCCAAACCACAGACCTCCCACCACGCATCTCGATCGTCAGCAGCGAAGTGCACAAACACACACTCTTCACCCAACAGCACGCGGACAACATCTTTGCGGCTCTCGACGAGGGGCCGTTGGATGCTCAGGGCAAGAATGTCCTCGCGGATAGATACCCCGTCTCAAAACTCCTGCAGATCCTCCTCGCGCGGTACGGACTTGCGCCGCGGCTGACGCAGCAGGGCAGTCCGGTGGTAGTGAACTACCTTAGTCCGGGACTGTGTCAGAGTGAGCTGAATCGGGAGGGGAACATGGTTGTAAGGATCATGAAGGCGATTTTTGGGAGGACGGCGGAAGTCGGGGGAAGAATACTGGCAGCAGGTGTTGGAGCCGCTGTGGATGGGAAAGAGGGGGTGAGGCTGTTCGGAGAGGGGCACGGGAAGTACATGCGTGATGGGGTTTTCGACGATGGGGATCTGGGACAGTGGGCTGCGAGCGAGGAGGGGAGGAAGGTTGGCGAGAGGTTGTGGGCGGAGATGTTGGAGATCTTGGAGCACGTGGATGGGGTGGAGGGGTTGAAGAGGTGGGAGTGAGTGATATCGCGCAGGACTATGTGGGAGTTGATCTTTGCCTTGACATGTATACACGAAGTACACCTGGCCCAATGCTCTACAAATGCCATGAAATCTACCACCAAACTCCTTCGTACGATGTCCTTCTCAGGCTCGCACACGAACATGAGTTCAACCCTCAAAAACATCATGCTGCATCTTAACACCATACCCCTCCGCAATCTTCTTCATCTGCTGCTCCATATCATCATCCATTCCCTTTCCCTTCCCAAACCACTGCCTCACTCGACTCACCCACCACGCCACATCCGTTCCCAGCAGCACAACCTTGAACACCATATGACTAGCCCAGTATCTCCACCTCTCGCTCCATTTCAGATCCTTGTTATCCGCCAACGCCCTGGACGCCCAATTCCCCGTAATCTTAATCCGATTCACCGGACTCCCCAAGTATTGATTGTTCCCCTGCACAATCCTCATATTCCGCCCAATAAAAATAAGTTCCTTCGGCCATTTATTCTCATCACTCAAAATCTCCCTCACCGCCTGCCGACTCGCCTGCTGCATCTCATAATGCCGCTTCTTCGCATCCTCCTCCCTTCCTATCTCCGCAAACTTCTTCTGTATCCTGCCTTGACCACCCTGATACGGCCTCATCAGCGTGGCACTCGCGAACAGCTCACTATCATTTACACCCCACTCGCGTGCTACGCGCCCCATGGTGCCGTTGTCGAAAGTCATCATCGACTTCCAGAAGAGGGAGTACTCGTGGCGGAACTTTGGGGACATGGAGATGTACAGACCGTGGTCGATGAGGACGAGTTCGCTGTGGCCGGATGGTAAGCGGCGGATGAAGATGTTGCCGGGGTGAGGGTCGCAGTGCACCCAGCCCCACATGAACATTTGGGCCGAGAAGAGGGAGACCATGGTGGTCATGACTTCGGAGAGGGAGAGGCCGAGGCCACCCTGGCCGTCGACGCCGCGCCAGTAGTTGCGATCGGGCTTCAAGTCTGCGCCTGGGGAGCTCGCAGAGGCGGATTGGAGATGTTGTGTGGATTGCTTGGGTGGGTCGAGGGGTGTGCCGTGCTACCTGGCTGCCAGTACGCCTGCCGCCGCGCCATGGCCGGGTAATGGCGTCCTTGTCGCGTAAGCGGACGCCTTCGATCCACTCGGCGGTCATGACGCGTTTGGAGGTAAGGTCATCGTACACTTTGGGTATATAGACACGGTCGCGGAGGCGGGGCTCAGCGGCGACGAATTCCGCCATGCGGCGCGAGTTGGCCGCCTCGTTTGTGAAGTCGCATTCCAGCTTCAACCGTTCGGTGATGTAGGGAACGAGGGTGTAGAAGGGGAGATCGAAGTACCAGGAATAGACGCGGGCGACGACTTTGAAAGCCCAGAGATCCCAGCCGACTTGCTTGCTAATCTCCTCCTTTTGGATCTTGATCGCTACTTCGCGGCCGTCGGGCAGACGAGCCCAGTGCACTTGTGCTACAGAGGCGGATGCGCGGGCTTTGCGCTCCATGACGCCCTTCGTAGGATCACCGTTGTTGCTGAAAGAGACGCCGAAGACTTCTTCGGGAGTTCGGCCGTTGAAGTCTTCCATGATCACTCGTCGGACAGAGGTCCAGTCGTTCTGCGGGGCATCGTCGAACATGGTACTGAACATCTTCTGGAATTCGGGTGGAAGAATGGCGCTCTGCATGGCGATTGCCTGCCCGATTTTGAGGTACAGCCCTCCATTCTTTCGCAGGAGATTCGAGAGCTTCTCTGCATTGCGGGCATGGACTTCGGTGATGTCGTCAGCGAACGGAGGGTTTTCTCGAAAGTTGATCTTGTAGTCCAGTGCTACCGTCAATCCGAGGGCGAATGTGCGGGTGCTTCGTGTGAGTGCTGAGGCAAAGAACTGGTTATCTATCACATAGCCTATCCCTCCGGCTACGGTGAGGTAGCCTAGTCTACGCAGCCATCGTCGGGTGCGTTTGTACTCTCTTGCGGGTCTCGCTTTGCCTAACGACTCTGGGGAGGGAGGAGCAAAGGCTGCGCGATATTGTGTCGAATGGAAGGGGCGACTCCGGGAGATGCTGGACCTCAACGGCGACAGCGGCTGTGATCTCGTGCTTTTGGAGAAAGCAGCCAGACAGCTGTCGCAGATGCGCCGCGATGCAGAGGCCATTGGGCACCTGAAGCTATCTCAAGACAGTACAACAGATGCGTATGTGAGGGAACAGTCAAGATGGACCCTCAGGCATAGCACGCGAGTTGTAGCATGTCGGTCATGTGGCGTGACAAGTACATCGCGGAGCGGATCTCTGGTTCCTGAAGATCGATCTCAAAAATTATGTATGACGATATCTGCCTACCAGAATCGGTTAAACTATCGCCGACTCGCTAAAGTATACACGGCCGAGAGATAGTCCTGCTTCGAGGTTCACTAGAAGTGAGGTTCATTGCTGCGACAGCTCCTGCCTGCAATCCCTGGGAAGCTCAAGAACACTGGCATGTCCATACCAATCGACCGCGCAGACGGCTCAGGCTTTTCATTTCATGACGAAGGTGACGGAACGTCCACTGCCTCTTGGCATAAGCGTGCCCATGGACTGTCCGGTGCCGACGAGTATCCCATCGCAGACCTGGCAGCATAAGTGAGCATGCGACTAACAATCCTATGCTAAAATGGCCGTGGAAGTTGAGAAGTCAAGATTGCTACCTACGCAGTAATCTCTCGACTTTCGCGAATGTCGTGTCGTGTCGTGTACGTTACAAATGCACTGTACATAGCCTCCCTCAAATCTGTACAAAATCATATGCTGTGCGCGAAATTTTTCCTGAGCGGCATGCTCATCGCCCAATCAGCCATGTCGGAACTTCTTGTAATAGACCTCGTCCAGCTTTTACCCAGACGCTCCCCAGACAAGCGACTCGTTGGTGATATCTATCCCGAGAATGGCTCTGGGCGAGACGTGCCTCTGAAAAAACCCCTTATCCCAGTGAGCATGAGTAGTGGCTCTTCGCCGTATGAGGTCTCTCATATCTCTCGAACTCCGCCGTCCGGTATCATTGGCATTCCTCTCGGATAAGGCCCATCTGCTGGAGGTGGCATCCGACCACTAGGTCCTGGCCCGAATCCACCACCTCTTCCTCCCATCGGCCTTCGTCCTGGCGGCGTCATTCCCGGCAGTTGGAAATCCGGGTTGTTGTTTAACAAGATGTCCTGCCTCGCTTGCGTGTTGGATTGCCTTCTCATGGGTCCGGGACCACCACCCTGAAACTCGCCTGGATAGCCAGGCCGCCAATTTGGATTGACTCCTCTCTGAGAAACAGAAGTAAAATTGCTAGTCTCGGACTCAGCTGGTGATCTTGCGCCGGGCAAGTCCTCGTATGAATTGGTTAGTGGTGGTGGTTGTATATGGTGTGCATGTACTGAATCCGGGCTTTCGTCGTGGTATGTCTGCTGGTGTGGAGGGCCTGCTGCGAGGACAGGAGGGAGTCTGCCTGCCTGACTTGGTAGCGGTGGCATGGGCTCTGGGGGCGCAAATTTGGGATCGACGTCTTCGTAGTAGATATCACTGCCACCAGAGTTCACCCTCTCTGCTCGGCCGTAGCTGCCGACGTTGCTGCTTGAGCTTGGAAGCTCAGCTGCTGCGTTATTCCAGCCTGAGCGAGCTGGCACATAACTTGCCAATGTTAGCTTCAACGCTTTAAGAGCCAGAATGTACTTACGCTGCTTCAGCAGGCACCCCTCGGCCGTCCATTTCCACGGCAGAAGGTAGCGCAGGTACCGCTGGAGTGGGTGACGGTGCCCTTATACCACCTGCAGGTGACGCACCTCTACTAGGGCCTCTGCTCCCTTGCGATGGACGACGTTGATTTCCAGGTGACTGAGACCTTCGCCCGTAGCCTTCGTATCCATCATGATCTTGTGTCGAGTATATAGACGGCGACATGGGGCCACCACGATCCGGAGGCGGGTATGCTCCAGGCACTTGACTTTCATCGTTGGGGCCTGGTCCATAGCCCGGTGGTGGTTGTGGTCGCATGGCTCTACCATCATCGCGCCTGCAGCAGCTCCAGCTGCCATCCCACCAGCCATCATCGCGCCATCAGGACCACGAGGGGGACCTGGAGGTGGATATCCGCCTCTACCGGGTCCCGGATAGCCACCTCGACCACGATACCCAGCCGGTGGAGGTCCTCGGGGACCACCTCTACCTCTCGGCGGATACCCACCTCTTCCTCTGGGACCGTAGCCACCACGCGGAGGTGGCATGCCGCCGCCATATGGTGCTCCACCAGGTGGCGGAGGACGTCTATTGTCGTAGCCAGGCATAGGCGGCACCACACCAGGAGCAGGATTGCCGAACTGGTCTCGAGGTAGGCTGTTCGATCTTCTGGGATAACTCCTTACGCTCTGACCGTCTCTGCTGGTACTCCGAGCTACGCTCGATGGGCCTCGATTCAAAGTGTCTATCTCATTCTCAGGTCGTCTTGAATCCGAAGTATAGGTGGTGAAAGAGGGCAGATTGTCCGCTCCGGGAGCGCCATTAACCATTGGAGCTTTCGATTCCATTGTCGCGAACGCAGGCACGGTCGCACTTGCCAGCTTCGCATCTTGCGCCGCCTGACGATTGTAGAAGTTTTCGCCGCTCATTTCAGCATTTTCGGCAATCCTGCGTTTCCTAGCTTTTCTAGAGACCAGCGTCCTCCGCATGGCACATGTGACAACACCAGCCGCGGTGATGAGCACCGTTGACCCCAGGACGATCCATCCTCCCCATGCGAGATGTGGAACGAAAAGAAGAATGTCGACCAGAAATGCCAGCAAAGTGGCCAGTAAGGTCGGGAGAAGAAGTATAAGCACACCAAGGAGGTACCGAGCCGAGTGTGAGGGCGAGTGAAGATGAGCAGCTGCGGCAAGCGCAAGCACTACCAAGTTCAGAAAGGCGGCGATGGGATGCACAATGAGAAGCGATGACAGCGAGCGTCGAGCTTGGGAAGGAAGGTTGAAGTCGGGGTTCTCATTGCTGTCGAAGAGGCCGTCTATGTCTCGTTAGTCTCTGCGATCGTTCTCACGGTCCGGAGAACGAACCAGTCGTATACTTGATCTTTATGCCTGAGCATCCATCGTTGGGTGTGCAGTAACCAAAGACGCCAAAGTGAACGCCTTGGAAGGTCGCGATTGGTATACTGGGTATGACCGGACTACTCAGCGTCGAGAGCAAGAGGAAAACGAAGGATATCAGTAGGATTACTGTGAGTGGGGTGGCCGGTCTGAGCATGGCGGCGTGGCTTTATCGTGATCGAACGCCGCGGAGCAGTCAGATCAGTTGAGCGCAAGAGCGCCAGACAGTGAATAGTGAAGCTCTGCTATTGCCGACATGGATGGTCGTCACTCAGATGCTATAGCTGCAGTACTGATATCATCTGCCCGTGGTAGGGGCGATGAAGCTGAGCGCCGAGTAAATTGCGGAGGTGCGGCTTCTTGCAGGTGCGCCTGCGTCGTGGCTGGAGAAGTCTATTCCGACAAGTACAAAAATTGATGATCTCGATGGATAGAAGGAATAACAAATGAACGGCACTACTCTTGCGATCCCTGCGACGATTGTTCAGAGTCGGTCCTAGTCGTGGGAAGGATGCAGAGCCGGTGTCGGGAAATGGAATGGGAAACTGGAGATGGACATGGACATGGAGGAGGCGGCGAGACTGGGACAGAGTTGCCCTGAATCTTGAGTCAAGTCTCGTTGCAGGTTGGCTCCGGTCCGGGGTGGTCTTCTGGAAGAACAATTGATGCCACACCCTATCAGCACCTGGACTGCCTTGAGTCCCTACTACTGTGTAGTGTACGAAGTAATCCCGGCCGTTATCTTAACGGCACCGCTGGTTTGATTTACCCGGCAAAAGATGTCTGTACCCAGTGTACTTGTCAACATGGGGATACTACAACACCAGGTCGAGCAGATGGGCGAGTGCATCGGCCTCTAACTCTCGATTATGATCCTATCCAGGACCTCGTGGCTATACCCGCACGCTACACTGTCTGGTGCAACGATCACCCTTCCATGCAGTCTCCTTTGTGATTATATCATGGTTAAGGTGGTAAGCAATCTTGATTGTCGGGCATACATCCTAGTTGCTTTTTAGCACTGAGTTCTCCTTATCCCAGCACCAATCGGATATGCTCGAGAATCTCGCTTCTTGCTCCGATGCCACCCCGTAAGTCTTATCCGAGTCTAAATGATCGCAATCTGTCACCACGACACTGTGGACGACAAGAGTACAAATGTCGTTCTGCAAGTCACATCTGGCGCATAAGACCACATGGGCGCCAGCGCCAATGGGTGGAATAACGAACTCGCGTTCAGACAGCGTGCGCTACCACAAAGGCTGCCTGTTCCTCATGAAACCTGCAGTGTAAGGGCTGCGGTACGTCCTGGAGGCTCAGTCCGCAGAACATCTCCGACTGGTCGACAGACCCCAGTCCCTGGAAATGTACTGCTGCATGTCTCTGATCTGACCTCGTACAAGCTCTTGTTCATCTTCTACCCACGCGGCAGTCTGCTTTTACATTGCATTCGCGTTCTCAACGAGCAGATCGATATTCAACGACCACCCGATGGTGCATCGTAGACGTGACTGTTCATCGAGCCGTCATCAGGACATGCTGCCAACCCTGTCTCATGGCTTGCCCTGCTTGGATCGAATCAACGCGATCTGCTCTTCTATGCTCAAGTCTTTCCCGGCTGGAGGTGCGGCGTACCCATTAGACCCGTCAGGTTTCTGTCTTTTCCTCCGCTCCTCATCCTCCGCCAGCAATCTGCCTGCAGCTTCCGCCATATGATCGTCCGCTCCACCTCCGCCCGTCTTCTCCCTCAGCCGCTTCAGATTTGCGGCAACATCGGTCCCACCCAGGTTGGTTGTCGCTGACCTTGCTGTGGCTTTAGCCTGCTGTTTCTTCCATTCCGGATCCAGCAATTCAATGCGCATGTGCTGCTCCATTTCCGACAGAGGTATCTGTTGCCCACAGTTCGGACACACGGCGGTCGCGGCTCTCGCTGCCCGCTGTTGCGCTCTAGGAACATAATTCTCCCGAATTCGCATAGGGGGCTGGCCTGGAGCTAGGGCTGGTGATGACGTGGACGGCGGTGGTGTCGGTATACTTGGCGGCGCTGGCGAGTATACGGGCATCGGTTGAGGTGGCGGTATCTGTGGAGGTGGTTGTGGCGCATATGCGTTCTGCGGCGGATACGGCTGTGGCGCGTATCCAAAGTTCTGCTGTGCCTGGGGTTGTGTATCATACGCATGTCCAGCCATATCATCGGTTGGCATTGCTTCCTCGATCCGTCGATCAGCCCGAGCCAGACTCATCATTGCTTTCTGCTCGAGACTGGCACTTTGCAGATCGTTGAGCGTAGTTGGTGGTGGTAGCTCAGTGTGGTCATCTTGCTCAGTAAAGACGACTGTTTCCACGACCACAAAGTCGTGCCAATCGATCTGCGCGTATGAGATCTTTTCTGCTTCCTCCGCTGCTTCCTTCTTCTGTTTCTGCGATTCTTGGAACTTGACATACTCGGCTCTCTTTCTTGCCAGGTTGAGTACACGGAACCGATCCTGTATATTGCTCTGCAGCGATGCGATTCGAGCCTGCTCCGCTTTCTGACCCTCCGGACCGGTCTGTAATAAGATCGTGTACTGATCGACTAGCCGCTGGAAGAACGTGTAAAGCGAATGCTGTGGTCGTAGAAAGTCGAACTGGTAATTTCTTGCCTCTCGCTGAGATAGCGCGGTCATCCAGCTTTTGCCTTTTCGTGCCACATGTAGCGCTGTGAGCTTGACTACCTCCAAATCCTGCGCGCTGATGTTTGGTACCCTGGCGCTGAACTGAAATTCGGGCGGAGGCTCGGGGCCCTTTGGCTTCTGCTGCACAGGTGCATCATCTGTCCGTCCTGCTGACACTGCCGTGCCACGACCTGACTTGACCTCGGAGAGTCGCCACTGGTAGAATGGTGCATATGCATCGGAAGGAACTAAGAAAGCGAACTTTGCATTGCCCTGCTCTTTATCCCGTATGCGATCCTCGAATACTGGACCATTCCGTGCCACATAGCCCGCTGTCCTTTCAATGATGGACCTGATATCTTTTGGAGGAAGCACTATTCCCTCTGGCGGTTTGTTGACGGCCTCTGGCAGGTCTGGGACGCCGTTGGACCCCATCGCGGACAAGCCGTCACGGCTGAGTACTGTGTACCGTCGCGCAGGGTGCGCTTCCTGTGGGTCCGTCGGAGACTCTTGGGGAAGGGGGTCTCAGGAGACTGGTCAAGACGATAGAAACGCTGCACGTTAACCCAAGATCAGCGACTGTGCTAGAATATGGTGTTGTTGCCTAGGAAGAGTACGAACCTTGATGGAAGTTCTTTGAAGTTTTCAGCCTTGCTGGCCTCGTCATCCGGCGCGCGGTACCTCCAAGTCTCCAAATCGCATTCCGCGGTCAATTCTCGGTAGGCAGGTCGAGGGGCATTCCTTCTCGAGCTCGGCGGTGGCTCCCGCTAAAAGTAATGCAGCTTGCTGGACTAAGCCAGCTAAGAATAGGGGCCCGCAGCCTGAGGACCCCTTACCGAACGACGCGTTCGCGAGTGACACTTTTGAAGACTGGGGTCAGCTCGAAATAACAGTTGTTCGAATATTCAGACTTCAGCAGTCAACCCCTTCCCATCTGTCACTCCCGTCTCTCCTTCATTTCTTTCATCACTTGGTCACTTTCCTTCGAGATGTGGCATTGACTCTTTGACTGTTGCCCAAGTCAAAGCGCAGTCTCGTGTCGTTTCCTCGAACTTCGAACCATTTTTAAATCAGTGCCTGGGAAGAACAAAATAATTCCACAGCACTTTTATTCCGCACCGTCAACGACCATTAAAATCGAGGCATGGCCGTCGCAAAGGGACAGCCTCCTAAGGCGTCCGCTCCGGCATCGCGCAACACCGTAGCCAAACCATCGAAGAAGAGCTATGCATCGGAAGGAGTCAAGGACAATGATATCTTTCTGCTCCCCGCGGAAGACTATCAAGTCATGGGCGCAATGACAGCCCTCGCTTTCGCCGTTAGGCTGTTCCGCATCTATCAGCCATCAAGCGTCGTGTTTGATGAAGTCCAGTAAGTCATGCAACCGCGAGGACCGAGTAGCGCTGACATGTCTTCAGCTTCGGCGGTTTCGCATCGAAATACATCAAGGGCAAGTTCTTCATGGATGTTCACCCACCGCTAGCGAAGCTCCTCATCACTCTGGCTGGCTGGCTGGCTGGCTTCGACGGCTCGTTCGACTTCAAGGACATCGGAAAAGACTATCTCGAACCAAAAGTACCATATGTTGCCATGCGCCTGCTCCCGGCCGTTTTGGGCGTCCTGACCATTCCCTGTATGTTCCTCACACTGAAGGCATACGGCTGTAAGACGATCACGGCCGCGCTAGGCACGGCGTTGCTCATCTTTGAGAATGCTTTGACTACTCAATCACGGCTGATCCTCCTCGACTCGCCTCTTCTCATCTGCACCGCAGTCACTGCCCTGGCATGGACCTGCTTCAACAATCAACATGAACTCGGCCCAGAGCGCGCTTTCGATCCGACTTGGTGGTTCTGGCTGGCAGCAACGGGTGTCGGTCTTGGTGCTACTGTGTCGGTCAAGTGGGTCGGTCTCTTCACCATTGCATGGATTGGCAGCTTGACTCTACTCCAGCTGTGGGTCTTACTCGCGGATACACAAAACGTGCCAGCTCGCAAATGGTTCAAGCACTTTTTCGCCAGGGTCTTCTGTCTGATCATCATCCGGTCGCGTTCTACGTGGGCATGTTTGGAATTCACTTCTTGTGCCTGGTCAATCCCGGCGATGGTGATGGATTCATGTCATCCGAATTCCAAGCCACACTCAACAACAAGGGTATGGCAGACACTCCAGCCGACGTTGCACTCGGCAGCGAGGTCAGCATCCGTCATCACAACACTCAGGGAGGCTATCTGCATTCACATGCTCACATGTACCCAGCTGGAAGCAAGCAGCAACAAGTCACTTTGTACCCTCACAAAGATGAGAACAACATCTTCTTACTGGAGAACCAGACTCAGCCGGTGACTGCTAACAACGAAACTGTCGCTGGATATCGAGCCTGGAGCAACGAGACCAATTTCATCAAGGACGGCGATGTCATTCGGCTATACCATCTGACAACGCACCGACGCATCCATTCACATGACGTTCGCGCTCCTGTCAGCGAGGCCGACTGGCAACAAGAGGTCAGTGCTTATGGATATGAGGGCTTTGAGGGCGATGCCAATGACATGTTCCGTGTTGAGATCGTCAAATCGATGTCTGATGGCGAACTGGCCAAACAGCGCCTGCGGACCATTCAGACCAAGTTCAGGTTGATTCACATCATGAGCGGCTGCGCACTCTTCTCTCATAAGGTCAAGCTCCCAGATTGGGGCTTTGAGCAGCAGGAAGTCACTTGTGCCAAACAAGGTACACTTCCCAACAGTATCTGGTACATTGAACAGAACTTCCACCCTGCCATCGGTCCTGATGCCGAGAAGGTCAACTATCGCAATCCTGGGTTCCTCGGCAAGTTCTGGGAGTTGCAGAAGGTCATGTGGCGCACGAATAAGGGCTTGACCGAGTCTCATGCTTGGGATTCGCGCCCACCATCTTGGCCTACTCTGCGACGGGGCATCAATTTCTGGGGCAAGGATCATCGCCAAATCTATCTTCTCGGTAACCCTGTGGTCTGGTACGCTTCAACATTGGCCATCGCTGCTTATGTTGTCTTCAAGGCTGTAGCGGCTCTTCGTTGGCAACGATCCTGCAATGACTATGCGAGCATCAACTTCCGCCGCTTCGACTACGAGATTGGCCAGACTGTCCTTGGCTGGGCATTCCACTACTTTCCGTTCTACCTTATGGCTCGACAGCTTTTCTTGCATCACTACCTTCCGGCACTTTATTTCGCATCATGGCTTTCTGCCAATTTTACGACTTCTTCTTCATGCGAATTCGCACATTTGGCCTTCGGGATGTACCAATAGTCGGCAAGACGTTTGCGGCGGTCCTCGTGCTGGCCGCTGTCTTCGTATTCACACTGTATGCACCCCTAACCTACGGCAACCAATGGACGAAGACGCAGTGCAAGGCGGTCAAACTCATTGACACATGGGACTTTGACTGCAATACATTCCACGATGATGTAAGTACACAACAGACCTTCCTGCCGCTCAACTAACGATCGCAGTACAAGAGTTACAACACGCCGCCCAGCCTGTCCGCTGGCGGAGCTACGCCAACATCTGGCGCCGCTGTTGCAGCAGGCTCGTCCGAGGCTATGCCGGCTGAAGCTGTGACGCCCAAGAAGGATGAGGCGAATATCATCAACCGAGAGGAGACCATTGAGTACAGAGACCAGGACGGGAATCTGCTCGATGAAGCCGCCGTTCAGCAGCTGCTTGCGGAAGGCAAAGCCAAGTTTGAGACCAAGTATGAGACCCGCACTAGAGTCGTTGACGAGGCTGGCAACGAAGTGAAAAACGCACCCGACCATCCCGATGAGCAAGGTCAGAACCCAAACACAAAGGGAGTTCCTGCAGGCAAGGGCCAGATTGAGCCCGCGCAGGCCCAAGCTGAGGCAGGGTCGGTCGAGGGCGCAGGAAGGATGGAGGCTCAACCTGCTAGTGATGCGAACGAGGCTACGAAGTAATGTAGAGAGGCAATATTTCGCCACATTGACTGTCTCCGTTACATCATGAGGTAGTGTCTTCATATATGGAATGGCACAGTCGCAAATAACAAAAGTTCAAAGATCAAGATCCTTTCCTTCCGCTTGGGTGCGCAACAGCTTGGAGCCTTCGATGTACTGTACAGTAGACGACTACGCAGTCCCGGCGAGGCCAACCAGGCTGCCAGGCAAAATTGTCCGAATTAGGCGTTGCCATTGGCTACGACTTTCAGACTTGAACTTCGGCACCGCACCCCACAGGCATGAAAGTCAAACTCGCTTTTGTTTTGGTGTCAACCAGTGAAATTCCGAGTCTTCTACCACGACATCTGCGAGCCCTTTCGAGCGCTTCAATTATTTCCGCATCGACATAGAGACCTTCTTAGCCCGCCCGACCTAGTTTGTGGGCGTACTTGGGCGAAACCTGCCCGCACGAAGGTCTCATCTGCCCCTCGTCGAATACAACTGCGCGTCATGGGGGAATCAAGGTATGAGCAGACAATTTAGCGTCCGGCGCGCATAAGAATACATACTGATGACGAGCAGGCAAGAGCTTCTGCATTGGCTCAATAGCTTACTGCAACTCAATGTCACACGGATCGAGCAGTGCGGCACGGGGTACGTGATGTGGGCTGCGGCGGAATACCGATGACTGACGACGGACAGTGCTGCGCTTTGTCAAATCTTCGACTCAATCTACAGTGAGTGCCATCTCGTCATCTAGATGGTACGCGACTGACTCTGTGACAGTGGACATCCCAATGGCTCGAGTAAAGTTCAACGTCAATACCGAGTACGCGTACATACAAAACTTCAAGATTCTACAAAGTATGTGAGCGGCGTTGTGATGACAACAGGCGCTAACAAGCGCAGACGCATTCACAAGACACGGCATAGAGCGAACCGTGCCCATAGAGTCTCTCGTCAAGTGCAAGATGCAGGATAATCTGGAGTTCATGCAATGGACGAAACGGTACTGGGATCAATACTTTCCTGGCCACGACTACGATGCCGTCGGTCGACGCAAAGGCTCCGGTCCAACCTCCGCCGCAATGCCGGCTGCCGCGCCTCGAACATCAGCGGTTCGTGCTGCGCCGAAGCCTTCTGCCAATTCGTCTACCACACGAGCCGCCGGTCGTGTAGGCTCAGCAACAGGGGGTGCTGCAGTCGGAGCAAGCTCTGCGGCATTAGCTATGCGACAAGAGAACGAGAACATGAAGGAGGCCATTGCTGGGCTGGAGAAGGAGCGAGACTTCTACTTTAGCAAGTTGAGAGACATCGAGTTGTTGCTGCAGACCGCAATTGAGCAGGATCCGGAGATCGAGAAGGAGGAAGGTGGGCTGGTCCAAAACATCCAGGCGATTTTGTACAGCACCGAGGAGGGCTTTGAAATTCCAGATGCTGAAGAGGGCGCGAATGGGGACGAGCCTGACACGTTTTGAGTACGAAGGATGACTGTATGAGGCTCAGGAACGATTGACGAGGGCAGTGTTGCCTGATGAACATTGAGAGTTGGAGCAAAAGCAGAGATGACCATGAGGACGGTCTTCTCATGGAGCGAGCAGTGTCCGAACCACCGACGAGATCATCACCGAGGCTGGCGACGTCGTGTCTCCGTTCGGCCCAGCAGACTCGGTTGTGCAAAAACCGGCGACAGATTTTGGACCTGGTTGCCTCAAAGAAGCGTGTATTGGCTGAAGACCAACGCCCTCGTGTGCAGCATCATAACGCAGCAGGCGAAATTCTGATAGATCATGAATAAGCGACTGCATTCTATTGTCACGGAAATAAGGTTTAGCAGCGGCAATTGACTGTCGGCGCCCCAAAAACTCCTTCGCCGATTGGTGACTCGCTCCACCTACCACCCACGCTTCGAACCACCAGTAAGGTAATTACACCCCTTTCCTTACGTTTTTCGACTATCTACGCGTGTCTACGACTTTCAGCGATCTCGAAAACCCCTCCAAAGCGACTGTGCGGCTCTCAAACACTCGGCGCATGCAAGAAGCGACCGACGCGATCTTGGAAGAACCCACCACGCATCGGTACGAAGCGCTGCAGCCAATCGGTAGATAGCGCGGGATAGCTGAAGCGACCAATCGACAGCCGTCACCAAGCTCGTCAAGAAGCATACAAGCAGTATCGTCGCTATCGCAGCAAAACACACGCTTCCAACGGCCTCGTAAAGTCAGCCAGCTACGCAGATGGACTTGTATTTGCGCCATGGGTTTTTGCTTCAACAATCGCACACAATTGCTTACGTTTGTTCGAGATGTTCAGCGCTAACAATGAATGCAGTACCAACCTCCTCCTCTAGGCTCGTCCTCGGGTTCGATTCCCGGGGTAAAGCACTTGACGGTCAGTCCTGTATCCAAAAGTTTAGGCTAACATACCGTCAGTGGCGAGCCGCTACGTGGATCGTCGCTTTGCGAGCCGCTATGAGACTCCCCGCCGTGGGCGAACCAATATCATCAATGCGATGCGACGAGCTGGTCGTGACCTTGTCCGACTGGTGCAATTTCGACGATTCAAACATACCGAAGACTATGTCAATTGTAAGTGTTTCTATTTCTTTTCATGCCGCGACTGACTGTAACAGCACGTCCGAGATTCCGCTCCGCCTACGTAATGCAGGGCAACGGCGTCTTCAACGAGGAGCCATGTCGATTCTGCACCCTCGATGTTGGCGCCTTCCACTACTGCAAATCTGTTCCCGGTATTGCTGATGGTTGTAAGTTGCCCCTTTGTGATTGTGTTTTTCGTTGATTGTCGTATCTAACCATTGTATAGCCTGCGCCAATTGTGTCTGGAGCAACAGACATTGCGAATTCTCCAGTAAGTTCAACTTGACTGGAAAGCGTATCCTTCCACAATCAGCACTAACTTCCTCCTAGCCAAGCCTGCCCCCAAGCCGAGATCTCGCAAGTCTCGCGCTAAAGGCGCCCAAGTGTAAGTGCTTCCCATTCCCGCGATTTTTTTGGCCGCTTATCGGAAACTGTCGCCCCAGAGGCTAATCAGGAACGCAGCACTCGGGAGTTGGGTCAAGCCGAAATGGCTTCTGAGGTTTGAATTTCCAATGGGTTGCACATCACATCCAAGCTCGCTTCATGAACGGCATGGGTACAGGATGTGACAGACGGAAGCATGATGAAGACATGCAGATCGAGGCAGCAATACCTTGCTATGCTTGATCAAAACAACACACAATCGAATGAGCCATAGATACCACTGCGTACGATTCGTAAATGGCACATCATTCATCAATCTGTCCATCACTTCCGCATATGATTATCTCACGTCCTCACCACGAACTCAACCTTGGCTTCCAGCAGCAACCCCAACAGGTCTCGCCCCAGTCAACCGGACCCTTTGTGATTTCGAGTTTCCATCGAGTCGAAACTAACTGTAGGGGACAGCTTGTGCAAATCGTCGCTGGGTCGGCACGCGCTGCGAGTTCTCAAGCAAGTCTATTTTCGTCGACTGGCGTACGCAGGCGCAATCAGTACTGACTTATGCATAGCAAAGCCTGTCACTCAACCCAAGTCTCGCACCCGCCCGGTAAGTACTTCGTGTTCCGCAATTGGTTTTTTGCAGCATGGCACATGGACAAGTACTGACACACTGTGTAGTCGCAACCAACCACCACCTCCCCATCCTGCGCGGCCGGCCGCGCCGGCTCCGAAGAAGACGTGAGTGAATCGTCAAGCATGGTCATATATCAAGGCTAACTAGGGACACGGTAGTCATAAGACTACCTAGGTTCGCGAGCGCGAGTGATGTCGAGGGCCAAGCGCCGCCTGCCGCACCCCCGGCGCCCCAGCATGCAGTGTCATAACTAATTGAGTACAGTCGCCGGTCTCGGTGTAGCGCAAACACCAACAAAAGGGCCTGAGGCAGTCATCTGACTGCCAGTGTTCCAGGAGGGCGTTCGTTGACTTGAGCCGAGTTCGTCCAGCGGAGAGGGAACAGCGTCCGCAAACGGCCAGCGTTCGCCATCATCGCTCGGTCCGGTCTCGGCGCTTGCGTCAACATCGCTCGACTCAGTCGCAGAGGACGTTGACCTGGCGGGGGAAAGAGAAGGTGTTGCAGGTCGTCGGAAAACATATCGTTGGGAGGGCTTTGGGAGCACAGCAAGGCATGGTTGGTGTCGATGCGAGGCAGGCTTTGGGCGCCGTACCAGATGCGCGCTGTGAAGTCGGTCGCTTGCGCGCCTCTCATTTCGGTAGAAAGGATATTATTTTCCCGCTTGCCTCCTATGAAGCCTGTTGTACATGTCCCTGATCGAGAAATTGGTTCACCCACCACGACCCTCAGCAATATCTTGATGACATTCTTTTCGTCTTTTCACCCTACGCAACTACATGGCATTTTCTAGACTCAGCTTGACTCTCAATACATATTGACAACCACCGTGCTATGCTTATTGATCCGGGCGACTGCGAGGTCGCCTTCCAGACTAGTCGCAGCCCAGTCGTAACCTCGCCTTGTTCGTTGAAAGGACGCGACGCATGCCTCGTACGATAGTGAAAGCACGTGTTATGTCTGCCTAATATCGATCGCCTTTATCATGCTGCCGTGCGCCTGGCCAATCATGCTGCCTATGTACTGAACCACGTTTCTTGGTCAGCTCTATGATCAGTTATGCTTGCCCTTCCCACAACACCGCTTGCCTTTACTGCAACACCGCTGGCCATCTCGGTCCCCCGTGGTCAATTCCGGACCTTGCCGTTACTCATCGTCGCTTGCCATCTAGATCTGCCGTCCTCAATGCTTGCCCTTGCCCTTGCCCTTGTCACCGCCGGTCTTCACAAGCTGGAGCACCGCCCTCGTCACGTCCGCCTGCTTGATTGCATCAACCTCTGCATCGTGATGGATGTACTTATACTCGCCATCCGGAACAAGAAGCAGGTACATGCGCTCAAGTGAGTAACGCTTGATCTCGTGGTCCTCCCATTTGATCCCATTCGCCCAGGCCAATTCCCATCGAAGCAGTCTTGCCGGAGAGTAACGTCGCTCCAAGGGTGGCAGGACTTTTGCAGGATCGAGTTTGTGCTTTCTGAAGAACTTTTCCAGCAAGCCAATGTCACCGTTTTCTGGAAGCGCAGTGTGCCATTCTAGACTGAAGCTGAAGTTGAGCTCTTGTAGACGATCGAATAGCTGATGAGGGGTGAGCGCTGGCAGTTCTGCATACATCCATTTGCGTATATGAGAAGCTGTAACCCTTGCTGCATGATCGGTCCGGTCACCGCATTGTTGTTTGATAAGCTCGTTGACAGAGATTCCATGGTCGATCTTGCAGTGCAATAGTGGCTTGCTGGTGACAGCATCAACAATTCCAACAGTCAGGGGCTCTTTTCCAGTGGCGGTGCTTGAAAACTCAAGGTCGATCGAGGGAATGGTTGGGAATTGACGGTCCATAGAGAGAAGGCTCTGCTCGCCATGCTCGTTCATCTTCTCAGCAATGATGTCCCACGCGACAGGCAGATCCAGTCTTTGTAGTGCCTGCCTGGTGCTGAGGGCAATTGCGTCAATGTCTAGGCCGTCTTCTTTCTCCTTATCTGTCCATATGCTTTTCTTCCATCCGTTTCCTGATTTAGAGCGGTGTCGGTGATCATACACTGCTTGCTGATCGTGGTGGAACTGGCATCGGACTGTTCCTGGCTTTGCTGGATTCTTGCAGGATATTGAGTATGCACAAAGTCCTTGCGCCACTCGAATGAACACCAGCTCTTCTTGCCTCTGACGCTGATTCTCATTGTGGGCTTGTACTTTTAGACTGCGGCAGAGAAAGCATAGAGTGTCCCGGAAAGCGAAGTGTACTTTTCTGGACCCGAGTACCCCTCCAACAACATGCATCAAGAGAGCTGTTGAGCCATCGATACCTGTGGTGTATGGGCATTCTGAGCCAGGATAGCCATGGCAGGTATGGAAATCAGCTATTTTGTGAACTCGCAAGACGGGGTCCTAGACCGGCTTCGAGTGGTCATTTCTGTTAAGCATAGGAGTGTCTTTGACTTCGCCCTTATAGGTATTGATGAGGTTCTGATTCGCTTCCCAGATACCAGCCTGTAACTCAGTAGAGAATCCATGTGCGATGAAATGGTTGAGGGCCGTAGCATGTCGATCGTGCGTATCTGGAGAGGCTGCATCAACGGGTGACTCGTTGAGGTCGTCAAGGCCGTCAGGGTCATCAAGGTCGTGGTCAGCAATATCATCAGCAGCAGTGTCGCCGCTCATGGCTGGGACAAAGCTTGCGAGATTGAAATTACGTATGATGCTAGGCTCCTTTCTGGAGGTCCATTCCTTGGTTGGTGTCTGTGTTCGTGTGAGCTC